TTTTTTGCCATTTGCGAGGGGTGCAAAAACTCAAGGGGGCGCAAAAACTCAAAACCATGACGCAATGCTCGTTATTGCGTACCTCTCACTTAGCCCCTATCGCCCTAATATATTATTTGCCGCCATTAATGACTGAAATAATCTATTTTTAGGTAGACTGTTCTATAATAACGAGGATTCTATCAATACATTTGCCAGCTAAAACGTTGATGTCGAAATATAATCTTCAAAAAAAAAGTAGGGGATATTCAGAAACAATACAAAACTGCGGAAATGCACTGCAGGTTTTATTAGAAGTAACCAGTGTATTTTGTTAATAACAGGCCAATTGCCTACACATGAACATAAACAGTTCATAATGGGCGGCTTATCTGACGGCCCCATTTCACTGCAAAGAATACACCGTCAAAAGTGAAAATGGACGTTTTTGATTTTTGTCTTAATAATTGCTCCACCAATCCTCAGACATTCAGCAATTCGTCGAGCATGCTCCTAATCAACCGTCCAATCACGATTTGGGGCAATCTGACCCACTCCTCTTGCAGTGCCACGGCCAATTCTTGCAGTGTTGTCGGTTGACGTTGACGTCGACGAACACGTCTCCCGATCAAATTAAACGTAACACACTAAAGTAAAGATACACTAAACAGTAAATGTTATGTGAGAACCGATAGGAAAGCATACATGGATAGATAAACCAGCACGCGGCAGTTTTCATCAACCCTTCCTTGAAGTGTCAAATTTGACAATGAACCCCTCCCACGTGTATGGCGCTATGTCAAGTGTCCATGACTATTTATCATATCACAACTTGATTAGGTATTTGCATTTCAATATCCCCTACTTTTTTTGAAGAGTATAATTAAAACGGTCATGTATTTTTGAAAATCAATCTTTATTGTGGGCATATTCTGAAGTCTGACGGTTAGAGACTAACTATACAGTTCAAATTAAACTCACACCCACTCACATCTATAAAGTTAGGTTGCCAGGTAATGAAACATACACCCACAGCAGCGAACCCGATCGGATAGTCAACAAGGGCTGTCGCATATTTTTTCTTTTGTTGGTAATGAAAACATTTACACATTAAAATCTGATTAAGACAAACAACCCATAGGCATTAAGTAATTAACAGAAATCATTAAAATTTGTTTGGCTTCTAGGTCTATTAATCTGAAGTCAATCGGCTGATAAATTTGGTCTTAAGAGCATCCACAACATTTTTCGAAGTGATCAAGGACCATAACTCCAGCAGTTATTATCGGAAATCATTTCATTTTTATGACGGCGTATAAAAACTGCATATTATTATGACCTATATGATATATTGCCCTACGGGCCTATTATTTGTCGTCATTAATGGATTGCCCTGGAAAAATATGTTTTTAGATAGGCTATTCTAGAATAACGGGTACTCTCTAAAACTACTTATAAACATCCATTTAATTTTTATAAAATATATGTATACTATAACTGAACTCCAATATTCAATAATTTAAAAACAAAATATATATATAATATAAAACCCCTTCGTTTTTATTCTATCAAAACAATAGCGACCCGCACACATCCAATGAATATATTTAATCTTTCAGATGATCCCGCTTTTATCAAACTCGGTGCTTATTGGCTATTGCAGTAGGTTATTTAGTAGTGATTATTTGTTTGTGGCATCGAACGGTTGTGTAGCAGTCAGACTATGTTTCGTTGGTTGATAAAAATACTTCGGGTGTAACAACTTGAATGCTGGGAAATGTGTTTACATTAGGGCTCCGCCCATCGAAGGTCATTAACATTAGTCTGCAGTAGTCATCGCCGCCGCGGGGAAATAGACCTTTTTCATTTTGTTGTGAAACTGGGCAAAGACTTTCAAAGCGTCAGAATAGGAAAAACAAACCATTTTATTTATTAGATCAATAGCTGCGATGCCAATATTGAACCCTGTCTTACATCCAGAATATTATTACCGGAAACCTTTTATGAAGGTGGCTCTAGCGATTACTTCCCCTACGTAAGAAGGCTTGTGAATATTTTGGCGTTTGGAGATACATGTATTATTTTAGTAATTCCCAATGGCGGAAAGAATTCCGAACACGGGATTTTTACCTACTGAGCAAATCGACTTATTCCTAAACAGATTTTCAATGAGCGATATCTCGACAATCTAATTAATTTAAATGTTGAGCGCAGATTTTTGACACATTGAGGGGATTTTACCACCGCGCATGTGCGAATCTGTCCAATTTCCGTTCACTGTTAAGTGATAATCCGCCTAATCATACTCGGTATTAACCATAGATCACTGCGTTAGTTTTATTGGTTTTGGTGAATTTTGTGACCATCAATTTACTGGTAGGTCTAAAAGGAAGAAGCACTTTGATAAAATATTTAAAGATCTATTTACTGTTTGTTATAAATGTATTTATTTCAACTATTCTTATTGATTTTGAAAATTATTTTAAAAATCATTACGGTACAAAGCCCATAGAGAGGACTGATACTACATGCGACGTCTGACAAACCACTTCCATCTTTAAAAACATCGAGGAGTAATCAGCACAATGTTGACAATCTGCGCACTAGTTTGATACGCGCAGACTACAATCGGCGCGGATTGCAATCTGTCCCCGGTTGAACGTGACAAGGGGTAGGGTCGCCTGTCCAACCTCGTGGGTTTTCTTCGCCCCCCCCCCGTTTCCCCCCACTGCTAAAGACCCCTACGCGCAAGCGAATTATGGAAATAAAATTGAACCATATGTTAGTCCCGAAATGACCTAGTTTGTGTCGAGTGGACGTTAAACCCCATCTCTCTCTCTCTCTCTCTCTCTCTCTCTCTCTCTCACACTCTTTATGACAATTTACGTCAACACTATCCCTCTCCATTTCTTAAACATCATAACTGATTAAATTCAACCTAATATAGCCTACTAATGAATAATAAAGAGTGTATAGAAAATTTTGGAAATACAAAAAGGCATACATACAATAATATATACAATCTGATTAAAATACAGATCTATATTTCGTTTCGGGTTTTTTTGTATATACTTTCGATGGTCGACACTACACGAAGCAATCTGTTTCACAGAGTATTACGAAAGTCTTCTAATATATCTGTACAAGATGACTGCCTTCGAAACGTGACGCCATATCACGCCGCGTCAATCATTGGCTCAATGGCGCGTGCATTGCTTACATAAGACGTTACTGGTTCGCGCAGAATGGTGCCTTTTACTCATTTTAATACCCATTTACACTAAATAGGAAATAATTTTTACCTACAAATACTTCAAACGTATTTTTTATTTTTTTAATACATAAAAAAAAATGTTTTAGAATTTGATTTGTCGGAGTAAAAAGGTTAATATTTGTGGCTCATTAAGTCGCATCGATGTCATCCTTATCAGTGATTGTAGCGGCCTAGCGAATATTCACTGCTGGTCAGTGTGTACAAGAAGATTTGACAAGCTGTACTCCAAGGCCGAGTCAGGGATCGTACGAGTGGCTTTTGACCCTATGACGTCAGACATTAATCAATCAACTTTGACGTATCCAGTGGTTTACGCACAGTTCCGTGCATGGCACGCCAAGAAGTCGTCGTAACAGGCCGGTTCATTGGTTTATCCCTCACTTCAACCAAAACGCCGGTAATATAGCAACTCGTGATATATGCCATTAAATATTAACGGTTTCATCAATATTTATATTATTTGTAGGCCCATGTGATTATAAAATATGTAATTAGTGACTTTTACAGTTACTAAGCGTGTATTTGGAAAAATAAATGTCATTTTGCCGGATTAAAAATTATATATTATTTAAAATGCATTAAAATGCGAAATATCTTATGTGGACAAATTGGCCGCTGGACTGTATACAAATACAGCCATTAAACAATTAATGAATAATTGAGTAGGTCAAGGATGCCCGGGCCGTTTTAAGATCCAGCCCACTACTGAATAAACTATTATTAGTATTACATTTTAGAAGACCCAATCGTCCATGAAGTGACTAGGAGATATATTTGATAAGCCTGCCTGAAAGTAGCCAAGTCTCTAATTCAATATCATCTAATGTCTTCGATATTGAAAACACGAATTATTTGTCAATATATATCAACATTGATGTTGTAATCTTACCGGGAAAAGATGAACCATATAATGCGTTTCAGCGACATTTTAAAAAGGGACTTGAAGAACGAGGCTACACAAGTCATGTCAAACGGTGACGTCATATTCTTATCTGGAGAGCATGCAGAATAAATAATATCAGTGTAGACTGGAATAACCAGACGCTAAAGATTGCCATTCGATTGAGACTTATGACTTATTTCGCCGAACATAACTGATTTGAAATTAGAGTAAAAACGGAAAGGATTGAATGTAAATCACTTTATATTCATTCATATTACATTTTTATAGGCCTATATATGCATTGCGATCCATTTGTGTCAATTTCTAGGTCCCAAATATTAGCGATTTAGCTCCTTTAATGTATCTGAATATCCATATTTTGCAGGACACGAACAGCTAGGGCTGTCAGTCCAAAATAACATCATCCCCAACAACTTGTTCGTTTCACAATGGAAAAACTTTCTTTGTCTGATACTGATAGAAATATGTGGGCCTACGACATACTCGTCACACGTTTCTATACCGGTACCCAAGACTATTGTATTTTTACATAAACTAACACATGATAAGCACCACATCTGAAATTCCATAATCGCGAATGCTTATCTTATATAGCTTATTAGCTAGACGTCGGTTTCTTTCCGGCAGCTACGCAGACGTTTTGCCATTGATTGAGGTAAACAAAGAACGCACTGCTGTTTAATCCAAATTACTACTTGAAATTATAAAACCCATATCTATACTTCACTGCGACTACAGTTAATATTTATCACTAACAACACCTTTAAATGCAAATTTCATCATCGAAGTCTTCACTGGAATTACCACCTTATGACGTCACAATCTGATCGTGAGAGATCAGTGGCCGCCATTTTCCTTGTTTTGTCTCACAACTCGACAAGTGCTTGCTCGCTAGATTTTGTGTTACTGGCTTTATCAATGCATTAATTATCACGTAAGTTGTTGTAAATGGATATTAACTATTGTAACTGAACGTTTGCATTATATTTTGTATAAAATATGAACGATAATTAAGTCAAAACATTAAAAATAGATGTCTTGTTAGTGGTATCCGAAGGGCATTTCCTGCCTTGCGTTGTTTTGTTACGCGTTGGTAGAATTAGTTCAGAGAAATGAATTGTGTTTCAACGTCTTAGACATGTAAATGTATGCCGTTATTCATATTTTCACTTAAATTTGATTCATTATGGCTTATTTACGTCTTAATTCATCATAAAATTGATTGTCGTAGAAAGTAGGTCAACCGGAAGTGGTAATAATTTACGCTGTTTAACCTTCCACAGAAGCCTAGATGATTTCAATTTTATGATTACATGAATTCTGGGTCATTCTGTCTTTATTTCAAGTTGCCACCATAATGATTTTGTCAGGGACAATTGAATTAAATCTTCATTTTTTGGTACATTACCTTATCTACCGGTATTTATGACTTGACTTTCAGTTTCATTGCCATTGGTGGTTGGGTTTTTGTAATCAACATTCTCAATCCTTTGAAAACGCTGTGTTGTTAAAACACTTTAGGATATGGTATACCTTGTGTCTTTAGGAAATCAAACATACCGGTACAGCACCGATACCAATTTTGTTGAAAAGATCTTTACCTAGCAGATAACCAGATTATACCGTGGTTAATGTTGCTGTCTGTTTTCGATTTGAGTAATTGGCTATAGATTGGCTACTTTTGAATCGGGAAATTAGTGTGAAACATTTGAGATGATTTATCTATCCATTGTAGAGATCTATATGGCAAGGGTTAGTTGTCTTTGATATGAATGCTTCTACAAAATATGTTTTCAAGATTTAAGACTCTTATTTCAGTCATATTTGCCAGTCTGAAAAACTGTCATTGAAATTGACCATCTCATGTTGAACTCTATTTGAAATAGTTCATGTTAAGCTTAAAATAGATTATATTTACACATGCTTATGTTTGTAACCAGATTAAAATCAGATGTCAGGTTGTTCTGTTTTATTTTCTGACATGTTCGGATCCCATGAACAAAATAACCAGTGTAATAATCTTCATTTTTGAAGGCTAATATTAATTGAGCATGGTATACATGGTAATGCCTATCTTCATTCTTCTTTAACCCTTACGTTCCTGGTCCCTATGGACTCCAGCATTCTGTACCCATTTCTGTTATTATATAGACTGTTAAAAAAGGCCTCGCTGGTAATACCGGGACCCAGAGAAAGTAATGATATTAATTAGCCATTGGTCGATATGGTCACCAGCTTACTGTGCCCAGGCTATTCTAATTTTTCAAATAATACCTGATTCCACAGAATATTTATGTATAGATATGTTATTAACTCATCGGCCAATCAAACCAAATGGCCTTTGTCGTCACTTCTGTCGGTTAGTCATTTCAACTTGATGGGTTTCAACTGTTAACAATATTTGGTGGATATGTTGCCAACTCTGAGACTGGCATTGATATTAAACTTTTTTTATACGCCACATTTAAATGTGGTCACATTGCTGTATGACACATCTGAATTCATGTGCATGAACAAATTCATGCATAGTATTTAAAAGGTTGGTCACCCCGGCTATAGAGACTAATGTGAATTTACACTGTCTACAATTAGCTCCTCTTGGTAACAGACACAAAGCTGGTTGACCAACATTTTAATTTAATTTTAGTCAAGAACACTTTATTAAACATGCATTATGCAAGAGCTAAATCTGCCTATTTCAGGTCTTTCTTTAGGCCTGAAATGTTATCTAAATTATTAATTAGACATTAATTAACCTATCCAGGCCATAATCAACTCTAGATGGCAGCGCTAGCCTGCGATCTTTAGTGGATTGTAAGCCGATTTACTGCATAACTTTCCTTCTCTATTAAACGATTTAATGGATAATCGAGACTATGCTGTTTATCGTACTGACTTTAGTAATGATGACCGAGGCTTATGGGAATTTCAGTCGCTTAGTTCTCGGTTCATAGTGGATCAATTTGAATGAAATTTTCACCAAATTGCCTTTACATTATCTAGTTTTTAACTATTATAGTGAGAACTCCCATAATGTATCTTTAAGCATATACTTTGAAGATAATGAGAAAAATGTGTTCGCTTATATATTTTCGTAATGTAATGAAAATTTAAAATGTTTATTCGGTCTTTGTGTTTATCAAACCGATTAGATCTGCATGATTTGTCAGTACAATATTTTGCCCTGTCAGTACGTCTATTAACAGTTACCTTGTGAAAGCGATAGAGGGTACAGTTTGAATGAAAGATCTTTTTCGAATTTGGTTTGAAGCTTTGTGGTCATAAGAGGACAAACAGTATCGATAATCAGCATTCCGTATCAATACTCTGTGACTTTTCGTTCTGGGTTATCTTGCCTTTGCCAAAAACCTTGTGACAATGATAGAGGTTACAGTTTTTACCTGATTCCTTGTAAATTTGGTGGAAGCATTGTGGTCATGAGAGGACCTTCCATGTAAGAGTTATACCCCCTTTGGTGTAAAGCTTCTGGACTATTTGAATATTAGCCCTTTTGATTTTCAAATTTTGTATAGTATGAAGCATTGGAATTGTTGAATTTTTAGCAATTTAGGACTTTCTGTTCCAGAGTTACATTAAACATACATTATGCAAGAGCAAAATCTGCTTATTACAAGTCTTTCTTTAGGCCTGAAATGTTATCTAAATTATCAATTAGACATTAATTAACTTATCCAGACCATAATAAACTCTCGATGTCAAGGCTAGCCTTCGATGTTGGCTGGATTAGATTCCTATATGCCGCTGAACGGCCATTGATAATTAAATCAAAACAGCGGATAATCGAGACTATGCTGTTTTTAGTAATGATGACCTAGACTATGCGAAAATTTCACCCGCTTTGTTCTCGGCTCATAGTGGATCAATTTGACTGAAATTTTCAGCAAATTACCTTTACACTATCTAGTTTTTAACTATTATAGCGAGAACTGCCATCTCTTTATCTTATCTCCCATAATGTATCTTTAACTGGTATGTGTCTTGAAAATCTTGTGAACATAATTAGAGATTACATTTCTTGAAGTTTTGATTCGGATATGCTACTGTTATGTTGACATATATATATTCTGTGTGTTGCTTACTTTTTATACGCCCACATTGAAATGTGATTGTACATTGTCGTCGCCGTCATCCGTCTGTGAAGGCTTTATGGGCTAAAGTTAATATCCGATGGACTTTGAATTTATACACAATGGTTAAGATCATGAGACAAAGAAGCCTATTGATTTTCAACGATATTCGATAATTACTTCCAGAGTTATGACCCTTGATCACTCTAAAAAAATATTGTGGATGCTCTGGAGGCTAAAGTTAATATCCGATTGACTTTAAATTCATACACAGTATTAAAGGCCATGAGACGAAGAGGTCTATTGATTTTCAAATGATTTCTGATAATTACTGCCAGAGTTATGGCCCTTGATCACTTTGTAATATCTTGTGGATGCTCTAGACGCTAAAGTTAAACATACATTATGCAAGAGCTAAATCTGATTATTGCAAGTCTTTATTTAGGCTTCAGATGTCATAGATATTATAAATTAGATCTTTATTTACACAACAAGCACAAAATCAACTCTGTAGACCCACAGATGGCTTGGATTCAGCTTGGATTTAAACAGACTCGTTGACTGATTAACCGTTACGTTGACGTCATACTCCCGGATCGAGGCTAAATGATAGAGTGTATGAATTGAGGCCGCTGTTGAGCGATGCCTTAACAAATGACAATTCAACTATTTAAAGTGCAATAAACTAAACACAGATAATGACAAATTATACAATTCCTGGAGACCGTGTGATGACTAATACAATAATAATATCAATAAAAATATTTTTATTTCCCCAATAGGAACGACGCCACTGGTGTATACCTATAGATTTATCATAATTGTATTAAAATATTATATGTCCTATATTCAATTGATTTAATGCATGCCCAAAATACAAGTAAGAATGAAAATTTACCCTCTCACTCATTTTGTCCAATTGTTATAAAAATCCAAAAGGTAAAACACAAATTCGGATATTATGACAGCAGACAAAAGACAGCAGAGATTATGTAGGTGGAGTTAACGCTGTCAATCAAACGATCGGCCATACTAAGAATTGGTGAAGATGGAATTCAATCCCATTTCTAGTCAAAAATTACACTGGTGATAACTATGTTCAGAATAAAGTAATTTGACTGAAATTTTCAATATATTCTTTTTTCAGCATCTATTTTTGAACTGTTATAGCAAGAATGGCTAACTCCTTATAAAAATCTCCCATAATGTATCTTTAATATCTGATTGACTTTAATAAATTTATATACAGTGTTTAAGGTCAAAAGATGAAGAAGCCTATTGATTATCAACGATTCCTGATGATTATTGCCAGAGTTATTGCCCTTGACCCTTTGAAATATCTTATGAACGCTCTAGAATCTAAAGTTAATATACGATTGACTTTAAATTTATGCATAGTTTTTATGGTCAAAAAACGAAAAAGCCTATTGATTTTCCACAATTTCTGATAATAACTGGCAGAGTTATGTCCCCTGATCACTTTGAAATATCTTCTGGACGATGTAGATGCTAAAATTAATATCTGATTGACTTATACACAGTACACAGTATTCAAGGTCATGAGACGAAGAAGCCTATTAATTTTCAACACTTTACACAGTGTTTAAGGTCATGAGACAAGAAAGCCTATTGATTTTCAATGTTTTCCCATAATTACTGCCATAGTTACGGCCTTTGATCACTCTTAAAACATCTTGTGGACGCTTTAGACTTTATATCCAATTGACTTTATATTGAATACAGTGTCTAAGGTCATGAGACAAAGAAGCCTATCAATTTTCAATGATTATGGCAATTGATATTAGATGTTTTGTATGCTAAATGTTAGAATAGAGCAGAACTAGAATCTAAATGAGTTGTTACTCGTAGTGTGTTGTAAATGTTTTTCTATTTCTGACAAAAGAAAAAAGATATGCGACAGCCCTTGTTGACTATCTGGACGACTTAGCTGCTGTGGGCATATGTTTCATTGCCTGGCAACCTATCTTTAATATGGTGGCCATTCAGGACAGAGATCTGTTCTCAAAGTAGATAGTTCTCTGTGTACAGAATGATACTACTGTCAGTTCTAGGTGATACTACGACTCGAAAATTGCTTGCCATTTCTTCAATTTTTATTCAAAATGGCTAAAACATTGTGGAATAACTGGAATGGTCATCCCATATCTTTCTGTCTTGTGAGAATTAAATTCAGATCAAGCTATATAGCTTTTCTCCCTTGAAAAATCGTGGTTTTTTGACATTTTGATACTGAAAACAGCCATGTTTGGCTTAGTTATCTGGAAGAACCTAAGCGGATAAGCGGTGCTGGGTTAGCTTTAAGTCGTTTCGCTCAAATTTGATGTGTAGGTGGTTGTTTCGACCCAGTAGAATATAACTCTTTTGAAAGCATTATTTACTGGATCCCAGACTACGGTTGTTTGTCCCACTGACTTGAATATTTAATTTCCCTCTGTGTGAGGATTGGAACTTTTTGATATCGATATAAGCTACATACAAGTTTTAACCTGCCAGTGTGCAGACACGTGATGAAATTTTGGAAGGAGGCTGCAGGACATACTCAAAAATAACTCGGTCCAAAACATCCACTGTTTATGTCGGTTTGCATAGTTAGTTATTCAGTGGCTTAAAATTTGCCTTGAGAACTATTGGAAATTTTAAACTTGAGCTAAGACTGGCTTTGTGATCAACTAATTTTCTATGTAGCGTAATTCCTAATGAAAGCCTGAACACAAATAAAACTACTATTATAAAAAATTATTTAGACAGTTATTAAATCAATAACACGGCATATGTGTCTACTATCAAATTAAAATGCATTATGTAAGATTTATATAAAGAGCTGACAGTTTAAATATAATAGTTTAAAATAGATAATGATAAAGGAATATATTGACACTCCTGGAAATTTTAAATGAATTATGGATTTTCGTTTGCTCCTATATATGACTAATATGCCTTTAAATATAATTATGTTTCAACCTCATGATCCAAATTGTAGGAAATCGAAAATTGGCAGTCCTTCTTGCTCTGCTCATTTACAAGGGCAGCTAAATTTTAACCCGCAAAAGTGTTCCGAAAAGATAATAAAAAAAATGCACGTTTTCTAAGAATACCGTAATTCTGGGTCAGTCGGATAATTATTACCCAGTTTATACGTTAAAAGCTAGATCTAGGATGTAAGATAATTTAAGTAAATTTGTGTTTGATATGTATTGACAGCTGATCAGTACATATGTTATCACGAAGTTTCAAGCAAATTTTTTGAAAACTAAAACGTTTTCTAAAAATGCCACATTTCCAGACTTTGCTCTTAAACAGAACTATAAAGTCTTAAAAAAACAAAATTCTGAATCATTTTACCCAATACATTTATTCAAATTTAAATAAGACCTAACCTTTTATACCAAATTACGTATTTCGGAGAGTTTGCATGGTTCTGACATGTGCCAAATTTTCAAAATACTTTAATCTTTAAGTCACTCCAAGTGATGCAATAAACATTTTTCTGCGAAATAAGCAAGGTGGAAACAGAAAAAAACATATTAACCCGAACTAGAACAATATTGTTTCACACAAGCTTCACAGTGTGAAACCCTAATAAGTATTATTGTCGCGAAACAAACGAACGAATTCTCCTTCACTAGACATTTCTAACCGAATGCACCCAATTTGTATAGTACATGTACCTGTCTACCCTAATGCGATATGCAAGTGTTCCATTTAACGCATGCGTAGTCGTAATGTTTATGTTCTCAGTCTCTTTCAATATTTGCGTATTTCAGATAGTAACTTTCTGGAGTATGGCCCCTGATTGTACGAAACAACGATTTTGTTTTTAGCTTGTTCTTATCCATCTCTTGCTAAATATGGGCGTATTTTGCCTGGCAACTGCTGGTTATCTATTTTAGCATTTACTGTCAACTTTTTATCTAATTTCCCATAATTCTCCTTTAATGTGATGTTCATGAAGATGTAGACCTTTATTGCTCCGAACACGGATAATAACTAGAGTTATTGCCCTTGATATATCATCTTACAGTAAAAAGATTTTTCATTTACTGAAAAATTCACAAGGTGACATTTTTTGTGACATGCTTTGGTGACTTAGCACCTGTGGGTGTATGTTTCAGTGTCTGTCAGTCTGTCTTACTTTTGATGTTTTAAATATAAGTTCATAATAGATTGTTAAATATTTACCCTGTGGGATTTGTTGACAGTTTTTTGTTGAAATGTTGTAACAAATTCCGATATTGCGTTCAGCATTATTGCCCATGATCAATTTGAAAAATCTTCTGAATGGCCAATGCTCTAATGTTAAATACACTATTCTAAACAGTATTTAAATGTCTGTTCATGTGATGAAGAACTCTTATTATTTTCAACAATGTTTGATAATTATATGCAGTGTTATTGCCCTTGATCACTTTCGAGTGACTTCAAATTATATGTACTGGTAATGTTTATGAAACAAAACAGCCTATTGATCAAGCTGAAAAATTTGGTGGATGCTTGAGTTGCTAAAGTTACGTCTAAACTACTTTTTTAATCTATTTAATTTTAATCTTTGTAGGCCTAGTCATTGCTGATTTTAATTAATCCTTGTTTATCTTTTCCAGATTGTTTTGTTGTAAGTGATGATGATGGTGTCTCAGTATTGTTAGATGTATTAAAATGAATTATGATAGTCAAGATAAGAGTATAAACAGACATGATTCTAGAAGCACATGTTGTTAATGAGAAGAAATTCTCTAATTCTCCCATGTTAGGGGAGGATATTTTTGATATGGTATGTTTCCTGATTTCCAATTATACTGATAAAATTCATAAATAATTATAATGCCATTTCCAGTATTTAGTAAACAACCCCATGCATTCTTTGCTTAGACTATATTTGATCTTGCTAACCGTAGGTCTTATGGGACAGATGAGAGTCTGTGTCATGTTGTCTCTGAATAGCCGATTTCACATTCATGGACACACCTCCTTTAATGCCCATTTCGGAATATCTTTAGTCAGGCTTTACTAAGAGCTTGGTTGACTGAAAGTTCTGAATAAAGAAGTTTAAAAACGAAGCCAAATATAAAATGCATTAATAATTAAAGTCTACTTGGGCTAGTCTAGTTTTTAACTATACACAATATATTGTGATACACGTTTCACTTTGACGCCCATTTTTGGTCCCACTGGTTACACTTGGTCCTCACATAATGTGTCATGTGTCATGGATATCTCTTGTTCCTAGCCATGGTTGTCTCTTGTCCCTAGCATTGGAATCCAATATTGTAATATAGTTTTACTAGAAGGATGTATTTAATACTAAAATATACATGTACAGCGTTTAAAAAAAGAACCCCCAGAATATTGACATAATAGTTAACTTTTATTTTGATAGGATGGGGTAGAGGTTCTGGAGGAGGCAACTATTCCGGAAGAAGGTAAATATAATTCTAGCATTGGAATAATTTGGTCCTTCTTTATGAATGAGATACCATACTTGTTACTATCAGTGAATAAAAATTGTTCAATGTATACTGAGCGCCATGGAAAACGCATCACTTAGTTTTTCGTATAACAAAATGATCCTGTAAACATCTTATTTATTTTGCTTCTTATTGTGAACAATATTCAAATGGGATAACATCAACAACACATTTGTACACTTATGGATGTTTAATCTGTAATCAAGGGTACAAAGTCAGAGGGGTCAAAACCAAAAGTACGACACAGATGTCAGTAGCGTGTGTGTCCTCCACGGGCCATCATCACGGTAGGCTACAGCATTAACGCGACCCCTGCAAATGTGTAGGGCGGTCCGGTGATGAAATGTGAAGCCTACCCACACCATTACACTTCCCCCAACCCATCGATTCGTTTCGAAGACGCAGCATTCTGCAAGACGTTCCCCAAGATGTCTCCACACACGTTGACGGCCATCAGTGTGATAAAGATGAAAGCGACTCTCATCACTGAAGAGCACACTTTGCCAGTCTACTCTTCTCCATGTCTGGTGTCCTTGAGCCCATATCAAACGCCGCTGGTGGTGATGATCCCTGAGGATAACTCCAACATAAGGTCATCGTGCACTGAGTCCTACTTCTCTTAGATGACGTCTTACGGTGTTGGCACTTACTGGTCCTTGTCTTCCGACGACTGCTGCACCTGTTCGAGTCGCTGGGCGGAATCTGTCACGCAGATGAGTGACCCGGATGTAGCGGTCTTGAGCCTGGGTTGTAACGCATTGTGGACCAGGACGTTGACGGTCACATGTTGATCCAGTAACTCGAACACGTTCCACCAACCTTACAATAGTGGACTGATGACAATTGAAGTGTCTGGCAATAGCACGTGAAGACATGCCAGCCCTGGACATTCCCATGGCTTCATTCCGTTGATTTTAAGTAAATCTCAGCATCTCTAGCTTGATTCCTTCACACGTCCAACAACAAATTACGACAGATTGACGTTTCACAGTTCATGTACTGCACATTATGTTGAAAACACGCTTTTAAAGGGCTCACACACAATGCTGCACGTGAATATTGGGTTTTTCATGTGCATCTCGTGCAATTTTTTTTGTGCACACGGGCCAACATTTTTTGTCTATTGAATTTCAGCAATTTCTAGAGTTTTTATCCGATTCTGACGAAACTTAAAATATAGGTCTATTTCCCAAAAACTCGGTTTCTTTCGATATTGGCATGTATCGTACCATAACTTCATGGATTATGGCCCCTGATTTTTCGAAAAATCACATTTTTAGCTCGTGGTCACTCAAGAAGTCACCATTTTCACATGATTTTGATGAAACTTGAAATGCATGTTTATAACCCATATTTGCACATATCGGATCGTAACTTCCTGAATTACAGCCCCAGATTGTACGAAAAATCTTGATTTTAGTTTGTTGTCCTTTTAGAGGTTACAATTATTATCTGATTTAAAAAAATGTTTCAATATATCGGTCCGTTACACAGTAATGTTGGTTGAGTTCGAATTTCGTGAAAATTTTTTATCCAATTTAAAATACTGTTTAGATATATCAACGTTACACTTACACCCTAATGATGGTTGAGTTCGAATTTGGAAATATATGGTATATCAAGGTTGTGGACCCGCTAGAGGCCACAATTTTGATCCATTTTTGATGAAACTTTAAATTTATATTTTTATCACATAGGTCTCAGTTCCTTTCGATTATTGCACATATCCGAACGTCCTGATTGTTCGAAAAATCACATTTTTAGCTTGTGGACCCGCTAGAAGTCAAAATTTGTATTCAGTTCTAAAAATTGTGTATATATATCCAGTGGCGGCGCAAGGGGGGGGGGGGGGCATTTGCCCCCCCCCCCCCCCCATTAATCTTGTCTGCCCTCTGTTTGCCCCCCCCCCCCAATAATTTTAGAAAATAAAAAAAAGTATTTGTGATACGTTTCGGTAATCAATACCTTCTACGGTGAATAAATCCCACATCCCCACTCAGTCATAAACTTGCATGTTGTATAGCATTTCCGACAGTCTATTTTTCAAAATTTTCTTGGCGAGGTCCCCAATGGACTCACTACTTTGGCGCTCACAAGGGGAATTCGTTGAGGTTCGCAAGTCCGTTCGTTTAACATTCTGTTCTCTAGTCGGATAAACTAGTGATCAGGCGACGGACGGTATCTGGTCAGATCTATTTATCTCGACGATCGGTGCCTGACAGAATACTGTAAGACAGCATTTCCGGCAGTCTATTTTTCAAAATATTCTGGGGGAGGACTCCCTACTTTGACGCTCTTGAGTGGGCTTTGTCGTGATTCGCAAGTCCATTTGACACTTTACCTCATCGATCAGTGCCTGAAATACTGCCAGACTGCCAGAAGCTTGTGCCTTTGCCCCCTTAACCTTGGACCTTGCCCCAGCTTTGCCCCTCTAATCACTGATGGCTGGCAACGCCACTGAATATATCACCATTACATATCAGTTAAGGTTGAATTTGAATTTCGTAAAAATCTGACCCAAACTGCCGGACAAAATGGCCGTTCTTTGTACGTAAATAGTGTAAAAGTATGTAATACCAAGGTTGTGGACACTCAGACACAATTTTGATTTGATTTTGATGAAACTTTAAATGTATGATTATAATCTAAAGATCTTGGTTCCTTTCGATATTTGCACATATGGGACTGTAACATCCTGGATTATGGCGCCAGATTGTACGAAAAATCACATTTTTAACTTGTGGACACTCTAAATTTCATAATTTTTTTATCCGATTTTAAAAAATGTTTGAATGTACCGGTATCACCTTTACACCCTAAAGACAGTTGAGTTTGAATTTCATGAAAATTGGAATGGAACTGCCTGACAAAATGGCAACTCATTGTATGCAAATACAGTGGACTCCGACATCGTACAGGATCGTTACAATAATTCGGATCACACAGTGTTTCGGAATACCGAGCTTTCTCCAAAACCGGAAATACTGTAACTTCGAAAACCGGAAGTATTTTTATATTGTAGCTTCGAATCACCAGAATGATATTCCCTTCATAAATGATAAACTTTTCTGTACTTTCAAAATTTTATTATATTAAATAATTAACAATAACAATGCATGCGTACAATATATTCATAAAATCGTTTACATGTAATATCAATGCATGTGTACAATATATTTATAAATATCAATGCATGTAATCGTTTAAAGTAGTTTGCTTAAGATTACCGGAAGCATATCGTAAGGCGGAGTCCTGGGCAACATCTTCTAACAAATGAATTGTTGCGATCATCTTTTCGTCCTTAATCTGTGCGAAGTATTTAATGTCGTTGAGCATGCGTAGGAATTTTGAATAGGTCAAGTCTGTCGTTAATGTATATTCTTCATCGTCCCCGTCTTTAGCCAATTGTCCACTCTGTTACGTGTTCATTTATAATCTGTCGTTCTATGTCCAGTTTTTCAAGCCAATCAAAGTAAACGGCACCTGTCATCCAAGCTTTGCGATTGGCCGACCAATTGACTAGCAGGTTGATCTTGTCCACTCCCCTAAAACATCTCGGGTTAACTGCTTTACCGATCAAAGTAATCAACACACCGATAATCTCACCGATAATTGATTGGTGATTACTTGTTAATCTTTTCTGGCTTCACACCCATTGAGTTTTAATCTCACCGATAATTGGATGCTTCACACCCACCGTTTGAAGTACGGATTATACGGTGTCGATTCAATGGAAATTATGTGACGGTACAGCTGATTGATTTCGGAATCAGGAACATACAGAATTCGGATTTACCAGCGATTTTTTGGCTGAAGTAATAAGGAAATAAATCGGGACATGAAAATCATACCGGATGTCACAGCAATCCGGAGTGATCAGAGATCGGATGTGACAGAGTCCACTGTAGTGTAAAAGTATGTAACACTAAGGTTTTGGACCTTCTAGAAGTCACAATGAAACTTAAAATATATGTTTATATCCCATATATCTCAGTCCCTTTCGATATTCGCATATTTCAGACCATAACTTCCCGGATAATGGCCCCTGATAGTGATTGTACGAAAAATTGCTATTTTGTTTAGCTTGTTCTCTATCCATCTCTTGCAAAATGTTGACGTATCTTGCCTGGCAACCGCTGGTTTTATTTACTTAACATATGACAAGTTTTATCATCTTTTCATGTTCTCACTGGTAAACTGTAAACAGCAAATTCCAATCACGCCGAGACATTGTCCATTTCACTATATTTAAGGAATTTTAGCGCATTTGGAACTGAAAGCTATGTGACCGGTGCCAGCAAAGTCAGTCACTTGGGACATTTCACCAATATTGATTTCTATACATTTCCTGAAAGCCACAACTGTAGGCTTTAAAATGCAACTAAAATTGCCATTTGGACTACTAGTTGTAAAATGATTAGAGGTGAAATAGACCACTAATTTTGAATGTTTTAGGGAGAATCTTGATCATGTATTTTTCAATATTTAATTACTTATTAAAATCAATTTTTGGGGCATTAAAGATGGGTTCCCAGAAAAGTATTTATCGGGTGGTTATTTCCAAGAGAAGTGTGGCAATTTTGGTATATATGGAAAGTAGAGATATCCAATCTTACTAGAAAAATTCTGGATTCCCCGAAAAACACTCATGGAGCATATACAGGACAAAAATGTAAGGGTTCCCCTAATCAACAGCCCGACGATTTGGAACTTCTGCACGCATGATGTCAAAGGTCACAAGCGAACATTGAGCGCTTGATGTACAAGTTGATAAACTTTATGAAGAGTTAGACGTACAATACTTTCTGAGATAAAAATGACGGAAAAAGACGCGGGTAGTGGATAATCCAAGAATTTAATTAGGATTCGATATTTGTAATAAACAGTAAGCGATTAAAGACAACATCGTCTTATGTATGCAATGAATTCTCCTCTGACTCCCAAGACGTGACGTAAACATGACCTGGTTTGATCGAATTTTAATAGCAGGGCATTCCTTCGCAATTACAATGTTTGAGAAGGATTTGAAGCATAATTATTACAAATTAATTAGTTTGAATATGTTTTTGGTCCATATATACCATTAAATCACCCAGTTTGTACGCGGGAACCCATCTTTAAGACTGTGAATAATTAAAAATGATTAAGAATTCTGACAGAAAAATTTCAAACTATTGTTCGGTGATTATAACTGAATATTAATTGCACCACTGACTGCTGTGTGATAGCCTATAGCGCAAAATGAATAAATGCAACTAATTTTGTTGGCACCGGTTACATATGTATCAAATACACGTCAGTTATTTATATAGACTCGATACCAGTTAACAAGTTTACACAGCATACAAAATATTTGTTGTAGTTTTGTATTATTATTCTTCTGTTATCTACTTGTTATTCAGGTATGGTATCCAGTGGCAACAGCAACTCCCAGTCTAGTGTAACAGGTGGATCTTTTTTATGTGATCCATCTTCATCAATGTTCACATATCGTGGTGATGTACTTGATATGGATTCTGATGACTGTAGCTTAAAATCATTACAAAATGATATCATTGCCAGAAGAAACAAATCCTCAACTGCTCCCTTCAATGGCAATTTACCAAGACTTAAAATAGAAAAAACATCAAAGGAACCATTTTTAAAATATTTTGGTCTCGTTCCTAATTCTAAGGAAGTCTGTATTATCAAGGAACATAAGGATGTAACTGATATAGATTGTGAGATAATCGCTGTGGAAGGTCTAGATCATATTGACAATGTGCATATGACATCACCACGAACACCTCATTCACTAATGTCACAGCTGAGTCGCGATCATGAAGGTAGTTCACGTAAACGCTTGTTTTCTTTATCTGGACCAATTAGTGATACAGAAAATCAGAATGATGATATCCTTCCTAAAACCAGTTTTCAAGGATCTCTTCTTGGGATAGATTTCTCGTCTTTTCTTGGTCAGCGAGTTCGGAAACATGTGAAAGCGGACTCATCAATGCATGTTATTAAAAGTGTTGAATCGTACTGCACTACAACATGGATTAAAAATGATTTTGTGGAAAAGCTGCGTTTTCGTCAATCAGACTATCCTGTGACTTTCAGGAAAAAGAAAAAGGGAAGCAACAGGCATAGAAGATGTCATGAATACAAGTTTAATTCTATGGAAAGACGTGAATTCATGAAAGTCGCTAGAACAGGACTCAATAAGGAAGGTAGGCGGTTGAAGAGAAAGATGAAAAAGCTTACCGTACGGGTAAAGCGCTTATCTAAAGACGTTATTGAAGAATGGACGAAACCTAAGCCTATCACCATCTGGATAGATGATGATATCAGCATAGTTGAGGTAGAACCTCCACCCGGGATTACTGCCTCTTTTTCAGGTCAGAACTTTCCCAACAGATTCTACCCCTATCGACCAGGCCCGGCTACTTACACTTATAGAAATGCATTTCAGCCGAAGAGACTTTGTGAGCCGAGGCCTCAGTATTTAGTGAAAAAAGTTGATAAACAATTAAATGGTTTCAAATCGCGAGAGGTTCTTTTCTACCCTTTGAACGAGGATTCAAATAAAACTCACTCATTCCCTAAACATGCTGTTCACCGAAGCAGAAATCTTGGTCCAGCAAGTAGAAGAAAACAAAATTTCTCCCAACTTCGAACCGAAATGCAAGATGACAGCATTTCAATAAGAAGTCTTTCTTCTGATGAAGATGACAATATTCTGGATTCAAACCCAATTGGTAAACCGAAACCCAATGGATCTTTAGACCAAAAGCTTGGTTTTCCATTTAATTATGGAGTAAATTCTCATTCTCATTCTTCGTCCAATCAGTCTAGTAGTAGTCAGTTTAAAAAATCTAGCATTCATAATTCCTCTCCCGCGAAACAGTCTATCCCGAAAGTAGCCACATGTATCAGTAGTACTAGTGCTGGACAATCTCGGCCACAGCAGACTCCAAGCTCAACTCCTTCCCTTAAAGCTAATATAATGAGAGCAGGAACATCAGGTAACTTGGCTTACAGGCTTCAAAGCAACTTCAAGCCAGAGAGAAAACAAAGTTTTTCCCAAGGAGATAGGATTAATTCTTCAAGTGCTTTAAATCACAATGTGAAGTCGCAAGAACTTTACAACTTGCTAGTGTCTAATAATAAACAACCCATAAATACCTGTACGAAACAACAGCAAGTCATTGCAAATAATTCTACGAAAAGACCTAACTCTGGATCGTCAAGTCCTTTAACTATTGCGTCGGTGTACAGTTTAAGTGGTAAGGATAATGAAACACCTTTAGCGCGTGTGAATATCGAAATTGGACAGATTGGTTCTTTGACTGGAGGATCTAACGATTCTCCTTTGGTGTTTCCAACTGGAATTAAAGCAAATCAGTTTGTAACGAACTCCATACCGATTCCACCATTGCCTCCGATAAGCAAGACAAAGATGGCTGAATATATAGTGGAAAGAAACATTGATAGTGACACAAATGAGGTTGTGGAAATAATTTGCATAGAGGATGATAGTTAATTCATGATTATTGCTGTGTCTGATTTCAAAGACAATGTCATGATCTTATCACTGTTAATATCTTTTATTCAATTCTATGAATTGTAAAGCTGTGTCAATATGTAAAGTGGGAAATGGTAATGAGAATGCTGAATTTTTATTAACGACACAAACTAATCCATGTAATTGTACTTAAAACTTGAATGGTACAACAGCAGACTCTCTTAACTTCTAGTGATATTCTTCTGTGTGGTCTAAAAATCCTTCATGTAAGTCAAACAATTGAATTGGGTAAATTCCAGTTTTGAACATTTTTTTTACTAAGGTTTTTCTGCCAGAAATATATGTATTCTATAATTCCGCCTAGGACTCTTTTATCTGCAACATCTGTGAGTCTACTACTGGCTGTAATTTAAAATTTTTAATAGTTATAAATAGGGCTGATAGTTTCAGTGCATTGAAGACAAATGTCCACACTAGCATCAATGCTGCAGAAAAGTTCCCTAAACTCTTTACTTCAACTTAAGTTATTTGCCTCAAATCTTTGGTATAAATTCTGTAAATTTTTGTCCCCCTGGCTTTCGAAGAAAGCAGAGGACTATTAAAATGGGTACATCTCTCTGTCCGTCCTTATGTCTGTCCGTAACACTTTTTGGGCCACAATAACTTTCCTTCTAATTGAGCTAAAATGTTCAAACTTGGTGTAGGTGTTTATTAGGCCAATGCCTTGATGGAGTTATATAAGATGGGCATTTCTGCTTAGGGTAAGCAGAGATATTCAATTTGATTGGTTGATGCTTTGGGACACGATAACTTTAGTTCTAATTAAGTGAGAGTGATGAAATTTGGTGTATAGTTTTATTAGATCAGCAGAGCGATAAGCAATTTGATTGGTTAAGACTTTGGAACGCAATAACTCTCCTTTGAATTGAGGTAGAATGTTCAACTTGGTGTAGGCTTTGATTGGGTGAATGCCTTGATGTAGTTCAAAGATGAGCATTTTCTGCTTAGGGTAAGCAGAGATAAGCAATTTGATTGGTTGAAGCTTTGGGACACGATAATTTTGTTTCTAATTAAGTGAGAGTGATGAAACTTGGTGTATAGTTTTATTACATCAATACCTTAACAAGGTTCTATGCTGAGCATTTTCTGCTTAGGCAAAGTAGAGACTTCAATATGATTGGTCGAAACTTTGGAACACAATAACTCTCCTTCTAATTGAGGTAGGATATTCAAAATTGGTGTAGGTGTCTATTACGTGAATGCCTTGACATGGTTCGTTCATGCGCATTTTCCACTACGGCTATACTACAATAAAAATCTGAGTATAGATTCATTATATCAATACATTGACTAAGTTCGATGATGGGAATTTTCTGCTTAGGCTAAGTAGCGATAAGCCATTTCATTGGTCAGGACTTTGGAGCATAAAAATTCTGATTTTAATTGAGGTATAGATGTTCATTAGGCGAGTGTTTTGACTGAGTTCAATGATTAAGATGTCCCATTAAAGTTAAAGGGACAATAACACTCTTGCTGGCTTGAAAGCTCCAGAAAATAAATAATATCTCTATCTAAGTACTAGATGTTTAAGTGTCCTACCTGTTGTGTAAATTATCCATTACATCCTATTTTAATTGTCTAGAGGGTTCGAAAATATTTTTAAATCGAAGTTTCATTTGAAAAGGTTTACGTTAGACGTTTCAAACCATTATGTTGAATTTTTCAAAATTTTTAAATAGGGTGTGTTAAGATGAAATTTGTATCATCAATTAATTGAAATATTCTAAAATAGTACAATTGTTGACCAGAATAAAGATTGGGACATATTATTCAGTTACAACAAGAGTGGTATTGAGCCTTTAAGCAGAGCTAAGCAATTTTTTTGGTCGATGCTTTGGGACAAGATAACTTGGTGAATGCCTTGATGGAGTTCAAAGATGAGCATTTTCTGCTTAGGGTAAGCAGAGATAAGCAATTTGATTGGTTAATGCTTTGAGACACAAAAATTTTGTTTCTAATTAAGTGAGAGCGATGAAACTTAGTGTATAGTTTCACTCACTAAATGGTACTTCAAGTTCAAAACCAGAGTTTGATAGTGAACATTTTCTGCTTAGACTAAGCATAGATAATCAGTTTGATTACTCGATACTTTTGAAAAAGATAAACGTGCAATTAATTAATATGTGTCATCTGTTTTTGGGGGTGATTTTGGCGGAGGACATCAGCCTAACTGCTGGCTTGTTCAGTTTAGTACCATACTTGTAGTCACATTAATATTCAATAATATTTATACCTTTTTGTTAAGAAAATCTTTGAATTTGAATTATGTCAACAAATATCCACATTTTACACTGATTTTCAGAGGATATAACTCCAAGTACTATCTATAGGGGGATGTTTTCTCATTCAGTAACATGGCGACGATAGAAAAGAGTTACCCAATGATTGTGATAAAACACAGAAAGATCTTTTCTTCTGATCACAGTCATTTGATTCTCTATAACTGTTTGCTTCATGATTTGCTGATGTTCATTCTTCATGGCAAAAATCTCAATGGTCAATTGCCACCACAAAATAATTTGGGAAATCGGCTGTTGAATGATAACAGCACCAGTAATAGCTGTTAATAATTATTTATTTAGATTTATTTGTATGTTTTATATTTCGGTATTTTATTGTTTTGTGTTTAATTCGTTGTTTATTCTTAACTATTATTTCTTTATGAATTCAATACTAGTTTATATTCAAATACTTTAGATTTTCTTTAGTCATAATTCTTTGCATACCTTAACTTATTGTATGAATGATCTGTGGGTAGGGGATTATTTTTTTCTCAAAATTAGATAAATCTAACCAAACCTTGTGTTTATTTACAGTCATGTTGATTATTCGCAGACTCAAAAGCCAAACAATGTACATGAAGTATCTTGCAGGACACTGTGGGTTAGTCAAACTTAATCAGCTCAGTCACATTACATATCAATTAGAAGCGATTGATTTCATTGGCCCACTAAAGCGGTGGACACACTAGCCGAATCAATCGGCGTCGAAATTCGCCTAGTTTGTCCACTGTCATTCAGCCGAATGATTTGCCCGAATCAAACAGGTTTGATATATTCGGCCGAATATTTATTCGGGCGAATTATATTCGCCTGGTGTGTCCGCTTCGCCGAAGCATTCAGTCGAATATAGAATTCATTAGCCAATCACCACTCATATCGAGAAGTCACGTGATAGATTGAAGACATAGACGCGGCCATGTTTAATCATGTGATGTGAAAGGTGATGCAATCGGCAGGTTGAATCGGGCGAAGCATTCGGCTAGTGTGTCCACCCAATCGGCCGAATAAAATTCGGCGCCGATTAATTCGGCCGAATGATTCGGCTAATGTGTCCACTGCTTTAGTGGTTTATCTACTAATCAAAATAGTCAATACATCCTTTGCTGCTTTTATTTCATTCTTCTTTTCCTGATACATCCATGACTATTCATTAATATAATCCTTAAGTGGAATTTAGCGATTGGGAAACACATTAAAGATACATTATGTAAGATTTAGATAAAGAGCTAGCCATTCTTGCTATAATGGTTCACAAATAGATCATGTAAAATAAATAATTTGAAAATTTCATTCAAATTACTCTATTGCGAGCAAAGATATTAGCCTTTGAAGGTTTGACAAGATGTACATACAGCTCAATAATTTCAACCTCTGTACTGGTTGTTCGAAGCTAAGTCTCACTCCTCCAATTTTAAATTAAATCAAAATATGGCTGAACCTTTCTAATCTACCGGTTTCCTCCCACTGCAAAAGACCCCTGCGCAAGCGAATTATTGAAATAAAATTAAACCATATGTTAGTCCCGAAATGACCTAGTCTGTGTTGAGTGTACGTTAAACCCCATTTCTCTCTCTTTCTAATCTATATAATATCGGAGAAATGTGATGCCATCGAGAGTTGATTATGGCCTGGATCAGTTAAAGTCTAATTAATAATTTAGATAACATTTCAGGTCTAAAGAAAGACCTCCTACAATAGGCAGATTTAGCTCTTGCATAATGTATGTTTAAAAGAACACAATTTGTATGGGAAACAATAACTGGTTTTATTATATAAGCACAACTTTTCGACAAGTATCCTCTTATTGTGCTTGTTAACGATAAGAGGATACTTATATAATAAAACCAGTTATTCTTTCCCATAAAAATTTTGTTCTCGTAATCATTAATATATTGCTGCTGCTTCTTATGGAAAGAAACATCCCTGGATCCTTCTACTGTACCATAACTATGTGTAGGTTTAAACCAGAACATTCATGTCAATGTTAAAGACTTTTACACTATTATTTTATTATAAAAATTTTAATTTTATGTAGGTATATAAATTTTCATAAATTCAGACATTTGTCTATTGTTGAATAGATTTTAGAACTTCATAGAAATTTCTGGATTAAACCCCAGGAAGTCTGTCAGTGGTCACATGACTGTTTATGTTACCTTTTATGTTGATATTCCCTTCTGTTGTTTTAAATTATGTTTTTGTCTTCAGTGCTACAGTATTAAATAATTCATTTTGTAATATATTTTAAATATTTTGTACATAAACCAGATTAACTGTGTATTGTTGTCAATGGTTACGGTTGTTTTGTTGAATCATGCAAGAATATTTAATTCGAATAATGTACTTTACCTGGAATTACTAGTCTGCTCAAAGCTTGAACACCCTCTTACATGGAAATAGGCTCTTCCCAAAAGAATTATGTTACATGTATTACAGACTTCGGGTGAGTTTATTTTCATTTTAGGGATTTGAAGTTATATTTCAGGTGTGACGATAATCTGTAAATAATTGTATTACAAGTTATTAATGGTGCCAGTAAAATTTATTTTCGTATGCATGTAGAATTACAATTAATAATGAGTTTTGTATGTCAGCAGTTACTTTAATATATTTAGTATTCGCCAGAGTTCTGACACAATGTATTGTGTCCTATATGCAGTGGCACATTTCAGCTTCATGTCTGTTTTGTGTCACACTGATGAAGATGACTTCATTGACATATGTCAGATAAGCCCATGGAAAGTCACTTTACACTTTCCTTTTATTTAGAGAGTTCATTTTATACGCACACTTAAAAATAGGGTTGTATATTGCTGTCACCCCTGTTCATCTGCCCACACCATTTATCATCCAATAAAATTTTAAATGTATTTTTATTTTTTTTAGAGAGTATACAAAGAAGCCTTTTTTGATAATAACTTTCAGATTTATTGGCCTTGATCTTGAGAGCGATCTAAAGACAAAATTTATCATATGATCTTCTGGGAATTTAGCTTCTTCAGAGGAATTTCACCAATTTCATTGCTTCCACAGTAATGACCCTTGTTAACTTGCAGAATCTTGTGAACACTCTATCAATAAAAGTTGTCATCAGATTGCTTGAAATTCCTATATATTGTTAAGGTTGTGAAGGGAAAATCTTACTTTCAACATTTTTCTTTAAATTACTTCTAGTGTTGTTGTCCTTGCTCATTTTGTAGAATCTTGTGAATGCTCTTGCAACAAATGTTACTCCATTTGCTTGAAATTTATATACATTGTTCAGATTAGTGAAATGAAGAATCTTACTGCTCTTCTTCACTTTGTAGAAACTTTTGAAAGTTCTACTTTACGATCTACTTTAATTATGTTCTTTGTTTGGATGAATATCAATTTTCTTGACAGTTTATCTTACCATATCTTGGCTATTTAGATGATGTACATGTATATTATAAATTTTAAGTAGTATGCAGTATGCATCTCTCTTACTAAAACCATTTTCTCTATGCAAATCTCTGCTTTGATGATAGGATTATGAAAGAAAAATTGCTACTTGTATTTTAAAGGTCAACAAAAGCTCTCAGTAATGTCATGGATAAATAAGGCATATTTCATTGTTATTAATCTGAATCTGGATTCCATCAAGATAAAGAATTCATCCTGTTTCCCCCAAAAAAATTTCAAATCGAAATCCAAAATTATGAATCAGCCAGTTGGTGTAGATTCACTTGTAGAATCCATAAAATTACCGGTAATTTCTATTTGGATTTTAGATAATCAGACACGCCCTACAGTTTCTAATTTAAAAGTTATAACCTAAGAATGTAATATTCCTACCACAGGGACTGGACAGTGGATTGTAACACAGGTATACTAGTGGATTATGTACATCCTCAGGTTCATTCTGACAAAAATTGATGTGTTTGATCAAAAAGGGATGTAGTCTGTGGAGCCACGCTCCATCTTATTGTGGTCGTTTAAAGCTAATCGTATACTATGCTTTTTTCATGTAGTATTCATTCAGTTTCACTAACCTGACAATCATAAAGAATCATATTGGTCTAATGAACTTCATAATTTAAATCAAAAAGTGTATGAAAAGGAACTGTTGTCATGCAATATTATAGTTTGTGATGGGCTGAAATACTGGATCCAAGTTTCATGAACTAAAAGAAAAAATGAATTTAGAATGTATATAATGTAAATAATGACATTAATAAATGTATTTCAATTGATTCCATGTATGTGTTTATTTTGTGATAAGCATTTTAGAAGTTGAGCGGTTGGAACACTTAGACTTTCCGTTAAAATTTTCAGGTTCTAATCCAGATTTGAGCAGAGAAGATTCTTGTGTATGTTTCCAGCCTGATTATCACTTGACAGTGCATCTTCAATAAAAAGCTTGTTAACTCTTACATCAAGACCTTCATGTAATACTCTACAATTTTCGTCACTAATTTCGGTTGGTTATGGACCAGCTCAAGACTCTGCATATACCTCGATAGAAAAATCATCGCGAATACCAACTGAAATGTCTAGCTGTGATAATCGAGTTGCAAAGTTCAAGGTTTGTTGAATGTCAAAGTTGATGGAACTTTTCCGCTATGATTATGCTATGATCCACTATATATCTTAGTCCAAACCTTTCTAATTTACTTTTCTGTTTGTCCATTATTCTATTAAGGTTGCTTTTATTCGGTTTTCCGCAAAATTTTCAAGTAACCAGCGGTTGTCAGGCAAGATACACCCACATTTTGCAAGAGATGGATAGAGACTACAAGCTAACAACAGGGGCCATAAAAAAGGAAATTATGGTCTGAAATGCGCAAATAAGCGAATGGAACCGAGATCTTTGGAATATAAAAATATATTTTAAGTTTCATCAAAATCGGATAAAAATTGTGACCTCTAGAGGGTCCACAACCTTTCGTATTAGATACTTTTACACAATTTGCGTACAAAGAGCGGCCATTTTGTCGGGCAGCGTTATTTCGATTTTCCCGAAATTCGAACTCAACCATCAGTAGGGTGTAATGAGGATATATTCAAACGTTTTTTTAAATCAGATAAAAATTGTGACCTCTAGAGGGACCACAAGCTAAAAACGTGATTTTTGTACAATCCAGGAATTTACGATCCGATTAGCGCGAATACTGAAAGGAACCAAGATCTTCGGGTTATAGAGAGGTATTTCAAGATTTTTCAAAATTGGATCATGATTGTGACCTCTAGAGGGTCCACATCCTTGATATACCAGCTTTATGGAACGGTGATATATTTGAACGGTTCTTTAAATAGATAATAATTGTGACCTCTAGAACTTACAATCTGATATGCGTGAATATTGACAGGAACAAAGATCTTTGGGTTGTAAACATGCATATCAAGTTTCATCAAAATCATATAAAAATTGTGAACTCTTATTAAAGTGTCCACAAACTAAATACACGATTTTTCATACAATCAGAGGCCATAATCCATGAAGATATTGTCCAATACATGCCAATATCGAAAGGAGCCAAGATTATTTGGGGGATAAGATTCGTCAAAATCAGATAAATATTGTGACCTGTAGAGTGCCCACAAACAAATTGCACGCCCGGACATCCAGGGTCGACCCCATAATACGTAAACATGAAAATGTGGGCGTATAAAAACAGCTTTAAGCGGTTGTAAACAACTCTATTCCATTTTGTGTTTGTATCACATGTCTGTGATAAAGGAAGATAACATACCAAAAGATAGGTTGCCAGGCAACAAAACATACGCACACACAGCAGCTAAGTCGTCCGAATAGTCAACAAGAGTTGTCGCATATTATTTCTATTGTCGGTAATGAAACATAATGCACTAAAATCTGATTAAGAGTAACAACTCATTAAGTAATTATCTGGAAATCATTAGAAATTGTTTGGCTTTTAGTTCTGCCCCATGCTAACGTTTAGTATACGAAACATTTAATATCATGGATTTAGCTGTTCAAGTTATCAAAATCCATTGAAAATCGTTATACTTGTTCGTCTCAAGACCTTAAACTCTGTTTATCAATCTAAAGTCAATCGTATGATAACATTAGCCTCTAGAGCGTCCACAAGATTTTTCAATGTGATCAAGGGCCAGAACTCTGGCAGTAATTATCGGAAATCACTGTGTTTATCAATCTAAAGTCAATCGGATGATAACTTTAGCCTCTAGAGCGTCCACAAGATTTTTCAAAGTGATCATGGGCCAGAACTCTAGCAGTAACTATCGGAAATCACTGGAAATTAATAGACTTCTTAGTCTCATGACCGTAAACACTGTGTATAAATTTAAAGTCAATCAGATATTAACTTTAGCCTCTAGAGCGTCAACCGATGGACGAACGGGGGTGACTACAATATACGACCACATTTCAATGTGGTCGTATAAAAATTGGGGAATTTCAGGCTAATCTAGTTATAGCTATAAAACTTGCAGTCGTTGCTTCAGTAACATGTTGACATTGGTGACTGCAATGCTGAGAAAGAAATTGTGTTTAACTCTTTAGCACTTTGTACATGTAAATATTAATCCCTAAAAAAATTATGAGAAAAGTGATAATGTCATACCAGAAAATCCATGGACAGCCTGAAACCACTGCTCCCTAGACAGCCCAAAAACTGTCTTGGTGGGAGTGTCATAGCTATTCATATAACTGCAGCAGTTTTGGGAACTCTATGGAACATTGGATGGTCCAATTGCAAAAGGGTTAACTGTTTGGAAGGTAAATGGTACACACTTTGATGTGACATAAAAGAACCCTTGGCAATAAACAGTTGAAATGTGAATAAGAATGGACGGAAATGATGCTGTCTTGAGAAAATTCTCCCCATCGCATTGAACACAAAGCTGTTGCTTCGTCTGTCCATCCATTTTCCACAATTTCTTGTGAACACTACAGCCTACATTTACCATCTGACAAATATTATGGTCTGATCTGTTTGAAATTTTTATACCTTTTTTATTGGAATAAAAAAGTCTTAATTTAATGCAAAATAATAATGACAAGAATTATAGATAATAAATTTCTTTTATTTATATAAAAAGTGAAAAAGCCATATATATACATAACAAATGGAACCACCAATTGGCCCTGAGACAAGATAATTGATAATCAGGGGACACATTGTCTTCAGGTTCAAGTCTACACAACCATTTGTCTTGGGACCAATTGTGGCATCAGCCAGCCAGGCATACATTTATCAAAAATATTAAAATGATCACAGTTGGGTTAGGTGAATTAATAAAAATTCAGGGTGAGAAAATAAATATCAATATAAGACATAGATACAATAATGTGAAGACATAGATACAATAATGTGAGATTCATAATAATATACTCATGCTTGGTGGGTAATTATGAAAAATGGTAATGCTGAGAACACTGGTTGTAACATTAACATTTCTCAAATAGAACAATTGCAGAGATCTTCAAAATGGGTTTTAAATTACAGATCACATTGTATACATGTATTCATGTGAGAGTTTTATAGAAGTGTGAGTGTTTTAATAACAGTATTCCTAAATATGGTTTAAAGGCTCACAGTTATATATTTTATTTTAGACATCTGTGTTAATTCTCCATCCACAAATGACAAAATCATTTCAAAATTCAGATCAGCAATAAACTCCCCATTCAATCAGGAACTAAACATTGGGCCATCTCAATAAAAATATGAATCAAACAGGTCTCTATGTTTACTGTAGAAAAACTGCATATTAGTATTATTATGCATTTAATCATTCAAAAGTAGCAGCCATTTGAAGTTTGCAGCAGAAAGATTACATTTCATTTAAAATAAGTTTCTAAGTCTTATCACACAAAAAACAGTTGAAGTTTGCAGCAGAAAGATTACATTTCATTTAAAATATAATAATAATAATATGTACATTTATATGGCGCTAGTACTCCATGCACAGAGGCATGCTCACAGCGCATACAGTTAATTAATTCGATTAATCATAACATTTCTCAAAAAGATGGGTTTTAAGTCTTGGTTTAAAACAAGAGAGAGTTGGAGATGATTTAATAATAGTTTCTAAGTCTTATCACACAAAAGAAACAGTTGTATTCACTCAAATATTTCTGGAATTTCTCTATAGGTATGTTGTGCAATGAAATAACTTCTGTATTCTTTAAAGCGATAGTGGCATTTTTTAAAGTAATATGTTTAAAATATCTTAAAACACAGTGACATGGAACCATACACAGTCCTACCTTGTTAAAGAATATTCCTATTACAAAGTTTCTACCAATGGAGGAAATTTTGCCTCCGTCAACCAGGCATCATTATCATTATACTGGTAGGCTAATATTCTTTTGAAAAGTGAACTGGTAATATGATGTACAGTGGACTGTCACTTCCGACATTTTAATACTACAGCATTCTGTGAAATCCGTCATCATTTTCATGTCCCGATTTATTTCCTTATTACTTCAACCAAAAAAGTTTTGAGTAATCCGGATTCTAAATATTCCGAAATTACGTCATCAATCAGCAGTCCCGTCACACGATTTGCATACAATTAACATTGGATAATCCGGCCTCCAATCAATGGGTGTTAACCGGCAAGCAATCACCAATCAATTATCTGGGAGCATAAAACACGTGTTGGTCTTTGTTGATTACCTTGATAATTTTATAATCTCTTGGTATAAGTATTCAATTGGCCGTACTGCAGTATCCGACATTTTAAACGCATGGGAAAACACAACCTGTCAGTAAATTGGTCGGCCAATAATAAGGCTTGGATGACAAGTGCTATTTAGCAACGATTATATATATTCAGAGTAAATTGTTATGCAGTTGTTTGATATAATGTAATAAAATTTTGAATGTACAGAAAGCTTTATCATATTTTAAGTTCTGTGTATTCGAGGGTGCATTATAATAAAACTTTTGGTATTCGAAGGTACAATAATACTTCCAGTATAATTGAGTGTTCTGACATCTTATCTAATCTGGCATATTGTATCGATCCTGTACGATGTCGGAATTGACAGAGTCCACTGTATTCTGTAATGCTTGCTTGCTTTGGGGTCATTAACAGGTTAAATGGTTGACTTTGCTGAGAGGGGCAACCTCAATTTACAAGTTGAACAATAAAGTTGTTTAAGCAGCATTCCAGTCTAATTAAAGCTTTCAAAATTGTAATAGAAAACCAACAGGGAGATCAGTGTAATAAAGTATTGTTTATCATGCATTAAGTTCACTGTAAGGTGGTGGGGGTTCTTGACTGTCAAGTAAAGGATTATAATGTCTATTGCTGTCACCAGGTGCCACAGGTGCTGATGGTTCTGTAGAAAATCCCTGAAACGATGCTGATTCGTTTCTATTTGGAGATGACGAAAATGCTGCTGAGTAAGGAAGATTGGCATCGCTGTTGCTTCGATTCACAACTTCTCCGTATGAATGAGGAACATATCCATCGCTTCCTCCCCATTTTACATTAGCTGTCTGAGTTCCAGTTGAACCACCACTTGCTGGATGATTCATACTTCCAACTTCTGAATTATAACAGTCTCCACAATTTAATAACACAAATACAGCTAAACATATCACAACCACTGAAGACACAATACACAACACTAACACATGCCATGATGATAATACTCCAAACTGTTGTTCATTTTCACCTTAAAAGGAAAAAATTGATAATTACAGATAACATAGCACTAATTTAGAGCTTCACTATACTTATTGATTTGGATAAATAAACACCCATAAATGTGGGAGGTTCAGACCTACATTTAATATATACATTTGGGCTTGACTGAACAGGATAACTTTTGAACCAGGAATACTGGAGACCTATGTTCAGAGCTGAACTATCGTGGCTCAGTTAGTATACGCTGGTACGCTTACCAGGAGGTCTCGTGTTCTCTCCTGGTGTTGGCCAAGAAAGTTCCTAAGGATTTTCCGGCATGGTTTTCCCTTGTCAGTTGTGTAGGAATACTAGGATGGAGGGCCTGGCAAAGAACAGTGTCTAGTCATTCGGATGTGACTCAAAAATCTAGGTCCTGTGTAGAGGCCTACATTGGCGTGCCCGTAAAATAACCCTTAACAGTCGGAATTCAAAATAGTAGGCTGCACTGCCAATGTCCGGGCAAAATTCCCCCTATACTACACCATAGGTGTATGCCCGTTTTCATTAGCCCAGTCAGTGCAGAATAGTACAACGTTCAACTTAAACCCCATTTCATTTCATTTCATTAACCCAAATGGTGTAAAATGCCAACCTGCCATTTACAGACTTGATCCTATTCCTAACCGAGCTTGGAATTGCACTTTCGCACCTCTACCAGTTCCCGTGGTCAAAGAGACTTGAAATTTTTTTGGGATCTTAAGGTGGACTAGCCATGATCTCACCCGAATCAAACAATAACTTTGCATTTTACCGACCTGTTAGCTTCTGTCGACAGATATGTTTATGATGCCATTTTCCTTGTTGACTATACAGACTCGTATAACAAAACACTAAGACGGACCCTGACACGCTGCGCATCCTGCCTAACGCTGCAGTTCATAATAATAATAATAATTTGGTGTGAGATCATGGCTAGCCCCTCTTCATCCCCTGAAAATTTCAAGTCTCTACCACGGGAACTGGTAGAGGTGCGAAAATGCAATAGCGCCGCTTTAGTTAGAACTTCATAAGTTTATCCTTGCCTTGGAACTTCAATGATGGCAACAAGGCATGGGTTTTAACAGGACATTTTACACAACCAAGACTCATAGTTACCTAATATGCTGGCAGCCCCGACTTCTAAAATTAAAGACGAAAAACAATTCAATACGGTAACGTAAATAAATACATTTTGACCCTCATTATCCGTATTAAACAAACGATTTTGACATTCTCATACAATGACAACACATTCAATCACATTATGAAATAAGAAAGTTTGTAATTTTCCGACACATCTGTCTCTATACTCTATAGGCCTATTGTCCTCTATAAATAATTACGAAATAGAGTCAAGTGTGAATAACAATTTTTTCTTGGAAGGTTTTCTACTTTATCTATCTCTTCACACTGAGAGTTGTTTAAAGGGGGATAACATAATTTAAAATGGAGTAAGGCTACTAAATTATTTCCTCATTGACTTCAATGTTAATTTTATGCAGTAGGCCTATCTGGGCATACAACTTTTTTTTACATTCAGTGGAGTCTATACTTTTTAGTAGCATATAGCCCAACATGTTCCAAGTATCTGATCAACATCTTAACCAGCTCAATTTTTCGAAAATCTAGGTTAAAAATCTCAGATTCAACCAAAATTTTAACTCTTTTCACCTCGTAAATTAATTCATCAATTTATGTAACAACAGATTTTTTTCGGAGTGGTTTCACCTTGCCAATGGTGCCGGACAGAGTACCTGACAAGGAACAGTCATTGGGAGGGAGGAAAAAACGTTGTTCCATGTACACATTGGCATGTACATAAAATAACCGTAAATAGTTGGAATTCAAAATAAAGAGAAAGCCGTATCGCTGCTGTCCAGGCAAATTGCCTTCGTAGTATACTCTATGGCGTATGTCAGTCTTCATTAGTCCAGTTGGCACAGAAAAACTTGAAGTTAAACCCCATTTTATTTCATTTCCCAAGAGAGATCTTTAACTGATAATCACCTTTGATAATATTTTTCATCTGAAGGAACATTTGATACTACTTGTCAGTTGGAGTTGGGCGAGGGGTAAATCATATATTAAGACTTGTCAAGCATGCACATCATGGGTTTGATCCAGGGTTTGTATGTGACAAGGATTAGGGTCACCTGCCTATTTTTTGTGAGGTTTCTCCGGGTATTCTGTTTCCTCCCACTATTAAAGACACCACACCTGCCCCAAGAAAAATACTAAGATAAACTTATGCCATATGGACCTTACCCCCCCCCCCATTTATCTTTTCTTGATTTATTCAATTGAAAAACAAAAATATAAGGTCACTTAATTTTCACAATTTTTATTTTTTATTTTCATTTTAAAATAAACCATAAAAACATTTTGCTCAAGAAATTATTGAAAGTTCTATGTGCAGCTAAAATTAAATCTAACATGATGTGAATTAATTTAGCAGACGCCTACATGATTAGCTTGGATGGGGATATATTCATAAACTTTGCTATTTGATAATCATCAGATGATTTGCTATGGGCTGCATGCTCAACTGTATATTAAACCCTTGATGTGCCAGAAGGATGCCGAGAATCATTTGCCTTGTTTAATTTTTTTTAAAAATAAGAACTTAAAAGTGTTCTAGATGATTAATACAAAAAAAACTTAGGTTGAGTGTCATCAAATTTTTCGGGCTGTGGCCAAATGATGAAAAATTTCGAATAAATTTCCCTCATAGCATACTGTATGGCTTATACCCGTCTTCATTAGCCTAGTCAGAGCAGAACAGTAAGAGGTTAAATCCCATTTCATTAGACGGATTTTGATTTTCAGATTGTTGTGGTACATGTTTAATTCCACTAGAATGGTTTGTATATACATATGATAATTATTAATTAGGTGTGATGATGTGTAATATACTATGAGATCAGTCAATGTAAACATTTTAGTTCTTGGCAAATTTCACTGATTGTTATGTAGGATCATTTTTCGTGCAAAAATAATACAGCCCACTGACTAAGGAAAATCAACCTGTATGCATATGTTCACATTACTCTGTATTGATTTTATGTCACCATCTTTTATCAACTTAGACAAAGCCTAAGTGTAACTTATTTATGTTCATGAATTAATCATCTAAATTACTTTCAAAAGTTAATAAAGCACACAAAACTTTATGTACAAGTTGAATTGAGCATTCAGTCCATAGAATTTTCAATAACTTTTTTCACAAAGGTACATATGATACTCCATAGAAAAAAAAAACAACAAAAAACAATAATAAAAATGACCACAAACATGACATTATTTTACCTACGTCATGTTAGTGTTAGAAAAAGATTGTGGCAATGGCAATGTAAAAATTTAGGGGGAGTCTTAATTAAGATACTGGAAGCTTAATTTTTCTCAACTCCTGATACAGATATACAGTGGTTATCTTTTTTTGTCTCTGGTTTAATTTATTACGTTCAACATTTAATCAATCAGTGTTATAAATTGTATGAAGAGCTCTTTGTTTAGCTGAAGTAATGTCGGTAAAATCATATAACCTCTTCGGCTTAATTTTTTTTTTTGGGGGGGGGGGGGGGGGGGAACCGAAATTAATCATTCATAAACCCTTCAAATAGCCATGAAACATTAAAATAGAGAAATTATATATTAATATCTGTAAAGTATGAATTCAGCTAAAAGTAAGAACACTGCATACAGTTTAGATTATGCTTAATCTTCAAACAAGAAACAGTATTTGGTGATTACCATAATCAAAATTAACCACTTTTTTGTAAATATTTTAATAAAAAGTTTGATATTTATTATCTAATTACGAGTACTTTTCATAAACAGGTTTCACTCATCTGTTCCAAAACAGCTCCTAAAATAATTTGAAAGATGAATGAAATCTATTGTCTTCATTTAGGGAGGATCAGGGAAAAACAAATATCAAGACACAAAGTGTCAAATAAAGAAAATACCGGTACATGTACGTGTAAAAATGATAATGAATCTGACACATGTATAAAAACATTAATAAATTTTAATGATTTTTAAATAACTTATATATTGCAAGTACAAATTGTCTTAAATAATAGAATAGAAATACTAAAATGGTAACATGGAGTTCTCACTTTAAACCTGAACACTCAGACAAACAGTTATTACACATATAACACTTACAACAAAAATATTTGAATTTTCTCACATGCAAATTGACCAATGGGTTGATTTCTCTGTCAGACAATGACAGTCAAAAAGGATTCAAATTGGATTCATTGTATGACATATTAATCTAATTTTTACATACATCTAGGGCCAAATAAACATTTGTAAAACACTATGAATTGCCGATCCAGTTACAATATGTTTAATAAAATTACGTCAAGCTTACTTATAAATACGATTCTCAATGGAAGCAAGTCCAAAACATATGGTGTTTAGCTTGTCACATATCGTTGTTACAAAAGCAGGAGGTTCTGGGAATAATAAATTAGTGGCATGATGTTGATTTCTTGGAAAATGAATGGGGGCTTTTTGTATTAGTGGTACTTAATGAAACCGATTATCGTAATTTTAGAGTTTCTCAATGCCTTACAAATTATTCTATGTACCTGTTATGTGATTAGTGTCGCAATAAGTAACCAGTTTTAAAGGGCCAATCTCAATTATATTTTGAGGAATAAAACTGCTTAATTTTGTGTGAAAAGCCCCTAAAATCCTCTATGTTAGGGCCGTATAACTAACTCAATATACGTGATATGTTTTCAAACAACTTAAACCTTTCAGTCTTCATCTGGAAATGGGGACCTGTGTCCCAAGCTGAACTAGATGGTGTCTGAATAAAACTCGACATTTATTTTATAAAAATAATGCGTAGGTGAAATTTACCTTTCGTTATCAAGCACAGCAAGTGGGTCATGCACTGTACAGACCTATAAAGGAAGAGCAATAGATTATCAGGTAACCCAACGAAATAATTGACCCGAAATCTTAAAAGGGTTACGTGTCCAGATAAGCGGTTTTGACATTTACGTCCAAATGACTCAATATTTTGAGCTGACATTTTGAGACAAGGTAAATACACCATTCCTCTACATTTTGGTGCTTAAATTTCATATGTACACAGACTTTTATTTCTGGGACTCTGTTAAAATCAGGATGGCCCTTGATCAGTGTCAAGTTTTAACATCCATAACAATCAACTTTTTTCTGATTTTTACACTACATTGTAATGGAAACCTACTCTCCATAGCAACCACATTCTACCAGGAAGATTTCTATTTGTATTAGTCAGTCATACCCTTAACCCTAAACCAAACCAAATTCACCACAAAACACAGACTTATAGACTAATACAAGCAATTTGCTTGGCCAATAAATTGAAGTGTCCTGAACATCAAATTCAAAATAATTATATCAGATATCAATGATGTACAACATCAGTTGCTATGTTATATTAAAGGGAACGTTATATACAAATATACATATTATAAATTATAATGGGTAAGACAGGGGATCCATTTTTCAAAATTTACATGGTACAAAATAAATATATATAGGCACATGTATTCAAATTATACAAAGCATAATAAAACCCAGGAATTCATTGCTATATTTAGAATCTGTTGGTGTAAAATATCTCTAGAGACCTCATGATCCAATCCCTAACCTTGGAACTTCATCTCAATTCATGGCTTGGCAGATTTGTTTCAAATATCAGTCCAAAGTGAAAAATTATTTTCTTAACATACTGATGAAGACCTTAAAGTGCCGTCTCCTGAATACTTCAATAAAGTAAGAGTGTTGTGTATGGTCCTAAGTATCAATCAAACATATCAACAGTACTATACTAATTGTCTGGATGAGAAAGTCTATTATCCAAGACATGATTACAAGGAAAGGTGATTACAATTTCACTATGGTTGTTCATTTAGTGGTTTGAAAATTTGTAATAAAAATATTTAACATAGAAAAAATAGTTTACTATCATTGCAACATTCAATTTTCAAAAATAAAGACATATAACTCTTGCTTTCTTAAAGCAAACATGATTACACACACACACTATAAAATACATATATATATATATTATATATTATATATTATATAGATGAAAATTTTAAATTTTGTAAAAACATTTATGAATTAAATGCATGGCGTAACATTAATAACTATCTCCATGTGTAATACACACATTCTAGTATTCCATTTCAATAACTTACTAGTTCATGCTGACTATCAATTCTGCTTGCTCAAATACAATTATCACTCTTTTTATTCACTTTTTTTTTTCAAATGCTGTAAGATCTCAATGATTTCAAGGATTATTCTGTTATGAGTCCACCTACTAAAGTCCTATCTTTATATCAGATAATTGAAAAGGCTGTGACAAAGATTCTTGCATTAAACTGGATTTCACATTGAAATGGAGTTGTAAATTGTCGTTCATCCACTGACTACATTATCATCCTACTGTTTATACATTAATTTCAGTGATTTCTGATAACCCCCAGAGTTATTCAAATTTACCTCATTATTTACATTAGTGAAATCCAAAAGCCCATCACATTTTTAATAATTACTAGAGTTATTCCCATCGATGATAAAGATTTTGCCATTTATATACTTAGAGATTCACAATGCGAAGACTTTTGTGGACTGCTCAGATAACCTAATAGGGTGGGGGGTATGTTTCGTTGCCTGGCAACCTATCTTTTGATATTCAAAGTTTTTTTCATAATTTAATATTATTTAATATAATCTCTTGCCCTTCATCCTATTTACATGTGGTTTTACAAAAAGGTTACCAGGCACTGAAACATACACCCACAGCAGCTTAATCATCTGAGTGGTCAACAAGGGTTGTCGTATAATCTTCTGTAGGTAATGGGGGCCATTTAGAAGTCAATTTCATACAGATCAGATTATAATTTTTGTCCTTTGAGGGTTCACAAGGTGCTACAAACTGAAAAGGGCCTCAACTCTGAAAGTAATACACAAAAATTGTTGAAATTTGATAGCTTTTTTGTTTTACTAATTCAAATAATGCAAAACAAGGGCCATAACTTTTTAAGGAATTGACAGAAATTGCTGAAATTCAATAGACGTCTTCATTTCAATAACTCAAATGATGCATATAAATTTCATACAGATCGGTTGATAACTTGTGTTGTTAGAACATTCACAAGGTTCAACAAAGTGAAACAAGGGTCATAACTTTAGAAGCAATTGCTGAAATTGCTGAAATTCAAGAGACTTCTTTGTTTCATACTTAAATAATGCATATAAATTTCATACAGATCGGATAATAACTTTTATTGTTAAAGCATTCACAAGGTTCAACAAAGTGAAACAAGGGCCATAACTCTAGACATAATTATGGAAAATTCCTGAAATTCAATAAGCTTCTTTGTTTCACTAATTTAAATAAAGCATATATATATATTTAATTGAGAATGGATGATAACTTTTGTCCTTAGATCATTCACAGTGTTTGACAAAGTGAAACAAGGGTCATAACTTTATAGGCTTCTTGGTTTCACTAATTTAAAGGATGTATATAAATTTCATACAGATCGGATGATAATTTTGATGTTAGAGCATTTGTAAGGTGTGATTAAAGTGAAACAAGGGCCATAACTCCAGAATAAATTAATGTAAATTATTGAAGTTATATAGGATTCTTCATCTCACTAATGTAAACTACATATATCAATTTCAAAACAATCAGATGATAAATGTAGTCTGTAGTGTGTTCACAAGAAATTGTGGACTACGGACCGAAGGGGCTACAGCAATATACAAACACATTTCCATGTGGGCATATAAAAACCATATGAAAATGTAATTGAGCTTACACAGGGACATATTTATGAGTGGCATATCAGAAAAACAAGTATATAATTTCACAATAATACTTCTGTAATAACCTTGGTATTTTTTCAAAATATTTAAACTTCAAATAATTGTTGGGCAGGTTGTCCTAAAGAGTTATCGTAAGTTTGTATGAAACAAGTAAGAAAAATTCTTTCTTCATTCATATAGCCTTAGGATATCAGCATGCCCGACGGCCTTACCCGAACTGAATATTCAGCCATCATGATTACTGTTACAGGAAAAACATTCAGATTAATCTGTGAACAAAAGATGGGCTGTGTTACGTATTTGCATAAATAGGTGATTCAGGCAAAGACGGTTTTGGCATATCCAAAGCTTCTTCATAAGAAGGCGGTAAGGATTGGGAGTCACTTTCTTGACGATTACTTTCATTTAAAATATTTTCATCTAGTTCACATAATGGTTGTTGTATATCTGAATCACTATAGTCTATATTATATAAATTACCACTGTCTCCACGTATCAAATTTCCATTATGACTTCCTAAAATAAAAGAACAATATCATGTTAATGTTATGTTATAAAACTCCCTATTTTCCTCTTTTTATTGGTCTGCTCCCACACCCTCCCCACCCATTTGTCTTTACGTCTTTCCTTTTATGTTAAGATGAAAATGTTATGGTGTAAAACTCTCAATTTTCCCTATTAACTGGTCTGCCCCTACACCCCCTTCCCACTCCATTTGTCTTTACGGAGAATATGAAATATTAATTTCAGTTCAATGTAAATGCGATTTGTATACCAATGGTAGAAATCATGTAAGCATACTAAGAAGAAAATTGCCAGTAAACAAAACTATTCAAATATATTTAACCAAGCTGTCTCTCTCCCTTGTTTGAAATACTCAAAATTTCTAGAAATCAGAAGATGCCCCCAAAATTTATCATTTGAACTGAATCTAATATTTGATGAACATATGGTACACCATTTGTTCATTTCAATGTAACAACCCTCATTTAACATTTTCCAACAATTCAGCAGAGAGATTTGCAGATGTCCAGATTTTAATGAAACCCATCTTTAGTTCTGGATGTAACGATTTAGTTTTATTTCTGAAATAGTGAGGCCCCAGTGTATTCAGAAAATTGATCTATTAGATATTTGATTTATTAAACTTACCATTATGCTGATTGGAACCATATTGTAATCGTTCATGTGTTGGACAGTGTCTATTGGAAGGAACTGATGTATAATGAGTGTCTCTATGATGTAATTCTTGTGAATTATAAACATGTATAGCCTGTACTATTGCACGTTCTGCTCGTCTCTCTCTCCACACTTCACGTTTTAATTTTAAATATTTCATTATTACAAAAGCTATAATTACTATCGCTGACAATAAGGCAACAGCAACAATAATCAACACTGCTGTTGATGGTCCCGTTTTGGGAGGACCAACTGTAAAAAAAAAAAAAAAAAATAAAACAAGATTTTATTTAAGAACTCGTACGCCAGATGGTCAACAAATAATTGAACAGTTGAGCATACCACATTTATCCAATCTTGATCTTAGTTGGCTTTCCAAATATATATTTCTATTATTTCATTTAAAAAAATCAGGGGCCAATCAAACACCCGAGCTAGTATTACTAACTAGAAGAATGCCCGGCTTCGCTCGGGGGCCATAACCCCGAAACCAGAAGTGGTAGACTAACGCCACCTGGCCTATGTTACTCCCTGGTCCGAGCTATCCCTATACCCCAAATTTCAGACTCGGGGCAGACCTAGTGTAGCCACCAACCCCAAACAGAAAGACAAACGACAGTCACAAATATTAGTTTAGATTGATCAACCACTAATCACAGAACAGAAATTTCAGAATGCTCAGATGGTCTAACAAAATCATAAAATTTCTATGAAAAATAAAACTATACAAAAAAAACAACAAAGCGTAGCCGTGAAATATATATTGGGGGGGGGGGGGGCCGCAACCCTAACCCCTAACCCTAACTCATTTTTAAAACCCCTAAAAAATATAAACAAACACCATGTGGCCATGCTGTCTACCAAGACAACGCGTGCAAAAGCATTATGGTTACGTTGCTGGCTGAGCGGGTGATAAATATTTGGTTTAGGCGATAATGTTTTTGGGTACCTACATGCGATTCACTCTGATAAGTGGCAGAAAAAAATTAACAAAATATTACTGACAGGCTAACTAGACACAATTTTATGGAACACAGTTACTTTTCACTTCACACATGTTTCCAGGATGATTCTCTCTGTGTTTTATTTTAGCAATGTAAACCATATTGGGATATGTACAGCTTTTATACAGATAGAATCTTAACTAATCCTAATAATTGTTGTAAATAAATAGGAGTTTGGGCCTACTATGTAAATTTTTGGGGGGGTCCAAGTATATTCTGCCCCCCCCCCCCCCCCCGAAAAACAATTGGGGGGGTCGGACCCCCCCATGTGTGACGCCCATGTAATATAGTGTCAATATGGTACATCACTGCCAAAGTCATCTCTCTGGACCTGGTTGAATATGAATTGTTAAAAGTACCTAGATCCCAGGGATGTTAAAACTTTAAAATCCCTTGGGGCTCAAGTCAAGTATTTTTTAAATTTAAGATGCTTGTTGCTAGTGTTAGAGATTTTAAAAAAAAAAAAATATTACATTGTTTCTGAAGGTTTCAGCACCGATTTATTACCTGATAATGTGATATTTATTCTAAAATTATATTCTCTCATATACTGATCTTCTCTATCTAAAGTTAACATCAATAAGTTACCTTCTTTTGTATAAAATGCATCAGGTTTTGGCATTTCACAAGATAAACTTAACTGAAATATAAAGAAAACAGACCCATATTTATTGAAATGTTTATTGAAATGTTTATTGAAATATTTATTGAAGTATTTATTGAAATATATTACCGTACTGAAGTATACGTCACTTTTTCAGCAAAAATTTATAATTCATTGAGGACTCATTCAGCTGTATGACCCCTAAAACAGACTGGGTCAGATCTATACACCATGGATGCCATTAAAAAAAGTTAAACAAAAAAATTGTAGATCTGTATTTTAATCAGATTAGAGATTAATGCTGATTTATCTGATTCTGATGTTAATGTGTATTATGATTTTGGTAAAAGAACTTTAACTGGTGACTGTACTTACTATTTTTTCAACATCTGCATCAAAGACACTTGATGGTGACTGATGTAAATGTAAACTAATTGCACAATCGTTGATATAGAAACTCTCAAAATTCACATGTAATGTATTCATCCCTTTATCTGACTTGGAACCAAAAATTAGTTTACAGACGGGTGCTGCATTGGCACTAAGTGGCGGAGTAACTTTACCAATCACAATTACACTAGTTCCATCATTTATCCAAAATAAAGTTTTAGTGTCTTTCAAACATACATTACTATCATCCATACCATCTAGAAAAGAAAACATACAACAAGTTGATTGTAACTGCTGAAGAAAAATGAAAATGAAATGGGGTTTAACATCCTACTGTTCTGCTCCGACTGGGCTAATGAAGACAGGAAGAGAAATGAAATGGGGACTAACATCCTACTTTTCTGCTCCAATCGGACTAATGAAGACGGACAAACACTATACAGTGTGAGTATACAATGAGGGAGATATTACATGCAAAGCGGTGCCTAGACAAGCCTACTCTAACATTGAATTCAAACTGTCAATGGTTCTTTTATGTCCAAGCCAACGTGTACACCGGACCTCGATTTTCCGTCCCTTCCGAAAAACTATTTAAATCAGTATGAATTTTATATACTTACATTTTTGAAACTGTTGTTCAGAAGCAGAAATACTATAACACCAGCGATATGAGAGAAAGGAAACAAAGAAGAAAATTTTGTTGTACAAATTCTTCATTTTTCCTGTAAAATAAAAACATGTGATTAAAATATACTAACTGTAAAATTTGATTTTCATATGCGTATGCTTATCATTATAGTAGCTTGTATTTTATCATATCTATATCAACACTCAGTTTAACTATGCATTGAACTGAGCAAAAAATTGATGGGTGTAGAATGTGTTAAGCCACTCAAATAGATTAGATGATAACCGGAATCTAGAATGATATTCTAACAAGATTTCTTTAAAGATAACTTGCCATGCAAAGAAACATAAGGCTACAGCAGCTAATTCTTCCGAGCAGTCCACAAAGGTGGTCTCATATTTATTCTTTTGTAGGTAATGAGAACATTAAAAAGACAATAAAAGCTGGTCAAGACTAACAACCCTTGAAACAGAAATAATTAACATTAGATTGGTTCTAGTTTTCGATAGTAATTATCAAACATTGGACAAAGAGTGACGAAGACAGGCTGGGGGTGACGACCATATACAATCTCATTTCAATGTGTGCACATGAAAAGGGGAATGACTGGCAGCTATTATCAAAAATTAATAGGGTTCATCATTTTAATAGGACAGACGACCAATATAAATATTAGAATCAGGTTAATAATTGGAGATTATAATGCACACTGATCAGCAGTGAATATTTGTTAGAACGCTAATTATTATTATTATACAACACTTATATGGCACTCTCTCTCACATACAATAAATATAGAAAATATAAAAATCATTAAAAAAATATCTATAAAATCTGTACAAAAATAAATAAATATCTATCAGATCAGTAAAAAATAAATAAAAATCTATAAAAACATAAATAAAAATCTATAAAAACATAAATCTATAAAAACATAAATCTATAAAAACATAAATCTATAAAAACATAAATAAAAAATATATATTATAAATATCGATTTGAATGTTTTTGTAAAATCCAATAATGGCGGCCAAGCGGTTGAAAATTTTATCAAACAAGGCCTTTGAAAATGAAAGATAATATCTGGAGCTAACACCACCATATGTCATTTTTTGTCTATTTTTAAAATGGAGAGAACTATTCATGTTCGGGAAAAATCGGAAGGCCCCAGTAATTTCCAGAAGTTTCCGGAAGCCATCACCAAATGTTTTTAATATGCCATTTTGATGGCATCGATGTGTTCCTTATTCCTACCAAGTTTCAACTTGATACATCAACCAGCGGCTGCCAGGCAGGATACGCCCACATTTTCGAGAGATGGATAGAAAACAAGCTAAAACGAAAGTGATTATTCTTACAATCAAGGGCCATAATTCAGGAATTTATAATTCGATATGCGCAAATATCGAAAGGAACCAAGATCTTTGAGTTATAAACTTACATTTCAAGTTTCAACAAAATCGGATAAAAATTGTAACCTCTGATATACTATATTTTCACGCTATTTGAGAACGAGGGGCGGCCATTTTGTCTGTCAGTTTTGGGACGATTTTCACGAAATTTGAACTCAGTCGTCCTTAGGGTGTAACGGTGATATAATAATAGTTTTTTTTAAATCGGATAAAAATTATGACCTCTATAGTGTCCACAAGCTAAAAACACGATTTTACGTACAATCAGGGGCCATAATTCAGTAAGTTACGGTCCAATATGCGCGAATATCGAAAGGAACCAAGATCTTTGGGTTATAAACTTACATTTCAAGTTTCAACAAAATCGGATAAAAATTGTAACCTCTGATATACCATATTTTCACGCTATTTGAGAACGAAGGACGGCCATTTTATCTGTCAGTTTTTGGCTGATTTTCACGAAATTCGAACTCAGTCGTCCTTAGGGTGTAACGGTGATATAATAATATGATTTTTTAAATCGGATAATAATTATGACCTCTATAGGGTCCACAAGCTAAAAACGTGATTTTTCGTACAATCAGGGGCCATAATTCAGGAAGTTACGGTCCCATATGCGCGAATATCGAAAGGAACCGAGATCTTTGGGTTATAAACTTACATTTCAAGTTTCAACAAAATCGGATAAAAATTGTGACCTCTATAGGCTTCACAACCTTGATATACCATATTTTTACGCTATTTGAGAAAGAACGGCGGCCATTTTGTCTGTCAGTTTTGGGCCGATTTTCACGAAATTCGAACTCATCCGTCCTTATGGTGTAACGGTGATATATTAACACGGTTTTTTAAATCGGATAAAAATTATGATCTCTATAGGGTCCACAAGCCAAAAAACACGTTTTTGCGTACAATCAGGAGCCATAATTCATGAAGTTACGGTCCAATATGCGCGAATATCGAAAGGAACCAAGATCTTTGTGTTATAAACTTACATTTCAAGTTTCAACAAAATCGGATAAAAATTGTGACCTCTATAGGGTCCACAACCTTGATATACCATATTTTTACACTATTTGAGAACGAACGGCGGCCATTTTGTCTATCAGTTTAGGGCCGATTTTCACGAAATTCAAACTCAGCCGTCCTTAGGGTGTAACGGTGAAATATTAACACGTTTTTTTAAATCGGAAAAAAATTATGACCTCTATAGGGTCCACAAGCCAAAAAACGCGTTTTTGCGTACAATCAGGGGCCATAATTCATGAAGTTACGGTCCGATATGCCCGAATATCGAAAGGAATCAAGATCTTTGTGTTATAAACTTACATTTCAAGTTTCAACAAAATCGGATAAAAATTGTGACCTCTATAGGGTCCACAACCTTGATATACCATATTTTTACGCTATTTGAGAACGAACGGCGGCCATTTTGTCTGTCAGTTTTGGGCCGATTTTCACGAAATTCGAACTCAACCGTCCTTAGGGTTTTTTAAATACGTTTTTTTAAATCGGATAAAAATTATGACCTCTATGGGGTCCACAAGCCGAAAAACGTGTTTTTACGTACAATCAGGGGCCATAATTCAGGAAGTTACGGTCCGATATGCGTGAATATCGAAAGGAACCGAGATCTTTGGGTTATAAACTTACATTTCAAGTTTCAACAAAATCGGATAAAAATTGTGACCTCTACAGTGTTCACAAGCCAAAAACGTGATTTTTCGTACAATCAGGGGCCATAATCCATGAAGTTACGGTCCGATAGATGCCAATATCGAAAGGAACCGGGATCTTAGGGTGATTAACCTATATTTCAAGTTTCATTAAAATCGGATAAAAATTGTGACCTGTAGACTGTTCAAAAACAATTGTGGACGGACGGACAGACAGGGGCGACGACAATATACGTCCACATGAAAATGTGGGCGTATAAAAAGTGACAGAGATACGCCATCTTGAATGTCGAAAAAATGACGAAGAAACTTCCGCAAATCTTTGATGCTAATATTAATCGAGCGAACTTTCGAATTTCGAAAAACAGTCAGTCAGAGCCCAAATGGGATACGTTCAAAGAATCCAAAATAATAAAAACGCTTACGAAAACAATATGTTTTTCGACCAAGGGTCCGAAACATGTAATAAATTTCTATGAAACCAGTAAAGTATGAATACCTATAAACTAGTTAAATGAAAATATATAATATACTCTTCAAAAAAAGTAGGGGATATTGAAATGCACCTGCGACACACAATAGCGCCATACACGTGGGAGGGGTTCACTGTCAAATTTGACACTTCAAGGAAGGGTTGATGAAAACTGCCGCTTGGTGGTTTATCCTATCCATATTTGACACTTCAAGGAAGGGTTGATGAAAACTGCCGCTTGGTGGTTTATCCTATCCATATTTGCTTTCTTATAAGTTCTTGCATAAGATTTACTGTTTAGCGTATCTTTGCTTTAGCGTGTTACGTTTAATTTGATCGGGAGACGTGTTCGTCGACGTCAACTGACAACACTGCAAGAATTGGCCGTGACACTGCAAGAGGAGTGGGTCAGATTGCCCCAAATCGTGATTGGACGGTTGATTTTTAGCATGCCACTACGAATTGCTGAATGTCTGAGGATTGGTGGAGCAATTACTCATTAAGACAAAAATCAAAAACGTCCATTTTCACCACTTTTGACAGTGTATCTCTTTGCGTGTGAAATGGGGCCGTGAGATAAGCCGCCCATATGAACTGTTTATGTTCATGTGTAGGCAATTGGCCTGTTATTAACATACACTGGTTACCTCTAATAAAAACAGCAGTGCATTTCCGCCGTTTTGTATTGTTTCTGAATATTCCCTACTTTTTTGAAGAGTACATAAGAACAGAAGAATACACATATGGGGAAGATTTAAAATTAATTCAACAATTAAAAGCCTCTTGGAATAAAAAAAGTTTTAAATTTAGATTTAAAAGTTGTTAAAGAGGAACAACTGCTGAAACTAAAAGGCAAGGAATTCCACTGCTTTTGTGCTTGAAATGAAAACAATCGCTCTACTTATCTTTAAAGGTTTGTTCTTTTTTCTGTTAATAAAAAGTTGTCACTGGATGACTGTAATGTTCGATAAGGTATATATAAATATCCAAAAGACAGGACAAGTAAAAGGGCACTATACCATTAAAACATTTAAAAGTCAATAAAAGTATTTTATATTTAATACTAAAAACAATAGGCAACCAGTGTAGTTAACTAAAACTGAGGTAATATCAGTGATGGGATTTCAAAATTTTTCTTGTCGGACATTTTTACCGAAAATAAAGGGACATAACTCTTATCGTTATTTAAGAAGGCAGTTTTTAGACCACACACAAAAATCACGTGTAAACAAAATATTCAAATTCGTCCGTAATATAAAAATAGGTGCACCTCGTTATTTTTCATATTTAATTCCTGTACGATATTCAAATTTATGTCAGTAATATTCCTACAAAATTCGTAATACGATAGCATAATACCGTAATCTACGCACATTATTAACATGAGCCTCTAGCAGTTTTTATTGGCTCTACAGAAATGTTGCTGATAGAAATATCAATATTATCTGAAATTTTTGCTTGAACTATTGGTGAGCTAATTAAAAGATACTCGTTTTTATCACCGTTCAGCTTTAAAAAATTGGTTAACATTCATTGTTTTATTTCATTGATACAAAATTCTGAGAGCAAGAGAGTAATGGGGTTTAACGTCCATTCGACTCAAACTAGGTCATTTTGGAACTAAAATATGGTTCAATTATATTTCAAAAATTTGCATGCGCGTAGGCGTCTTTAGCAGTGGGAATCAACCGGAGGACGTGGAGAAAACCCACGTGGTTGGACAGGCCACCCTACTCCTTGTCATTTGCAACCAGGGAATCAAAACCAGACTCAATGACAGGCTGTATGACACAACGTGCATGCATTAACCATTCAGCCATCCAACACCCCCTCCCCCCATCTTTAACAATTGGTATGAACGAAATATACATCTGCGTATCATCTGCTAATACTGTATCACTAAAAGGGATGACATTGGTGTGGGTTAATTAGCTTGCAATATTAACTTTTTTCATTCTGCAAATTAAATTCTAGAACAATTTTTTGATGTATTAGAAAAAAAATAAAAATAAAAAATTCCTATTTAGTGTAAATGGTATTTAAAATGAATAAAAGGCATCACTCTGCCCAGACCAGTTTATGTTTTGTAAACAATGCACTCGTCATTATGCCAATGATTGACGCAGTGTGATGTAACTTCACATGTAGAAGGCATTTGAACTTATAAAGATCTGGAGGTCACGGTGGCTAAGTGGGTGAGACGCTGGCTTGCTAGACTGGAGGTCGGGTGTTTGATCCCTGCATTGGCCGAGAAAGGTCATCCAGATTTTCCGGCATGGTTCCCCCTTGTCAGTGATGCAGGACAGAGGGCCTGACAAGGACAGCTGTCTAGTTGTTTGGATGAGATGAAAAAATGAGGTCCCGTGTACACATTGGCGTGTACATAAAAGATCCCTTGACAGTTGGAATTCGATATAAGAGTAGGCCGTAGTGCCGCCGTCCGAGCAAAATTTCCCTCACAGCACACTATACGGTGCATGCCCGTCTTCAGTAGCTCAGTTCGGAGCAGAACAGAAGGACGTTAAACTCCATTTCATTTCATATAAAGATCAGTCATCTTATAAAGAGTTAGAAGAAACAGACTGATTATATCATGCTAACAAGATGTCATACTCTGGAGGGGATTAAATGTGGAAAAACAATAGGTTTAATTAAAACTGACAAATCAAATCAACTTTGAAAAGATAGGGATTATTGTAGTCTCTATTATGCAAAAAAGAAATGTAAACACAAACCTACAAATGGACGCGAGAGGTTGCAATATACATGTAGGACCACATTAAATTGTGGCAATATAAAAATATATACAAACAAAATAAAAGACATTTTGAAACAAATAAAACGAATTGATTAATTGATAATACCTGTTATCATTACCAAAATTTTGTAAAATATTTGTACTGTAGATATAGCCTTCAAACTTACCAATATAAATCAATAATTAGCAGGATGTACAGATATTATATGTAGTGTTATGTTACAGGGAATGACTCATAAGGGAAGGATGTCAATACGAGATGCACACTACCAGTAATTTAAAAGATGCCTACTTGAGAAGTTTAAATTATGTAATGCAGTAATAGTAATTTTGAGTAAAATGTTTTTAATGGGTCCCATGTACCGCACTATGATAATTAGTTCCAAGTTTGAATGATCGCTAAATTCTTATATTGACCTAATATATCTCAGTGTAAAATTTATTTCATTTTTGGCAGGAATGGTGTATGTCCAATTTTGCATTTAAACATACATTATGCAAGAGCAAAATCTGCTTATTACAAGTCTTTCTTTAGGCCTGAAATGTTATCTAAATTATCAATTACACATTAATTAACTTATCCAGACCATAATAAACTCTCGATGTCAAGGCTAGCCTTCGATGTTGGCTGGATTAGATTCCTATATGCCGCTAACGGCCGTTGGTAATTAAATCAACAAAAGTGGATAATCGAGACTAAGCTGTTTATATTAATGATTTTAGTAATGATGACCGAGATTATGCAAAAATTTTACCCGCTTGTTTCTCGGCTCATAGTGGATCAATTTGACTGAAATTTTCAGCAAATTACCGTTACACTATCTAGTTTTTAACTATTATAGCGAGAACTGCCATCTCATTATCTTATCTCCCATAATGTATCTTTAAGCTTTTATCATTTTAGATGATCAATCTTTTTCAACAAAGCCACAATATTGCAGATGTTCCACAAATTGTTGCACACTTGTTTTGATAGTTCTATAATGGCTGCCTTACAATGCGTGTTTGTGTTACGGGTTAATTGCAAAGTGTGGTCCTCCTCTATTTACTATTTAAGACTCAAAGATATACACCATCCAATACTATTTTAAAGAAAACTGTTAAAATCTAATTAATTTGAAATGAAATGGGGTTTAATTTCCCACTGTTCTGTACCAAATGGGTTAATGAAGACAAGCATACTTGTATGCCATGAAGTGTAGCATGAGGGAAAGTTTCTCTGGGCAGCAGCATTTCCAACTACTCTTCGTTTAATTATTACTGCCCAATTTTTTTAGAAGCACGTCAACATGTACACAGGATCTGTTTTCCATCCCATCCAAATGACTACACCCTGACGTTTTTTCTACCTATGTCTTCGTTCCTTAATTTAAGTTTGAAATTTCAGTTTCATTTACAACTCCTCTTGAGAGGAATCACAATCAGTTTAAATTCGACTCTGTACCTGTTATTGCTGGCTACTTCAATGAGTAACAATAACTGGTCTCCTGTATATGCGTCACACACAGAACTTGTACCCAAAGTTGCAGATGTTACTCAAGCAGCTATTGTAAACTGATCTATACCAGAACTTTAAAATTATATTTGGAATCTGTTAACCTAAGTAAAAATTTTGGATGGTTACATTATCCTTTATTGTTATTATTACTGTGGCTGAGTGTAAAAAATTTATTAAAGATGTCATTGTGATTGCAAAAGGTTGGTAAGCAGTGGGGTAGGCTACGTCAGTAGCGAGTTTAGTTCAGCTCTGAATGTATAAGGTCTCATTACACTCGCCCTGTATGCACTGTACGTATGTCCCCTTCTGCTAAATGCCTTTGCAGACACCACTGAATATAGGGCAACATACAAATTTACATACCTCGGCCATATAAGATAAATGAAATTTAGATAAGCTGGGGGAAAAAAATTTGTTTTGTCTTAAGGCCGAGGTATGTAAATTTGCACATTACCCTATATCTAGATTTCAATGGCATCTGCAAAGGCGTTTAGCAGAAGGGGACCTATTTGTAACAGCATGTTGTGTTGCACATACTGACACTAGCAAGGTAAGCAAGATCTTATTTTCTCGCTAAAATGTTCCTTTACATTGTACTGGCGTTCACAGGGACTGATACGCGACCGTTTACGGTTTAGCAGTGGAAAGTTGCCCAGTAAAATTGACTGAGAAGCGAAAGTGTTTTGACAAGGATTCAATAGGACCGTTCCTGAACATACAGGGCGAGTGTAATGACACCTACGTTCAGAGCTGAACTATACTATAGCGAGTTAGGCTATGTTACATGTACGAGAACGATTGCAGCGCTTCACAAATCAGCATTAATCATTCAAGATTTTCTTTTTTATAAATTCTAAATGGACTGAATAAAGAGAGCAATAAAATAAAAACAAAATACCGGTGCGTTGTTTAAGTTTAGTAATGCCCAGTATTCTAGAAGGAAAAAATAGGCTGTACTAGTACTACTACGCAACCAACTCTTGGTTTGGAACCTTGGTTTTATTGAATTATTTCAATCAAATCATACCTTTTATTACCTCCCATTCATCATTGATAATATCATTGACTACTTCTAGCTTAAATTAGGATACAATTTGTACATAATATTACATTTTCTATTCAGATAAACACATAATTTGCCATCACAAAATTATGACATTTAATTCGCAAATTGTCAACAAGCCGACAGAGACATCTGCTATCAGGGGTAGATAACTCTTAAGGACACGTATTGAACAAAGAAACTTGGACTGAACTTTTCTATCTATTTCCATAAATTTTAGCAATAATAAATTGTACTCTTCCACATATCTGAAATAACAAACCCAACCAGTTAGATCATAGTTGCTAAATATTATAGAGAGAGACTCTAGTAAAAGAAAATTTAATCGCGGGCACAATTTTTCAAATAAGACTCAAGAGTTGTCTCCCCTGAACAGTAGCCCCTTCAACAAGCAGATGCCCTTGCCAAGTTCATCTTGCCAGTTTTGCCGTTACGGTATGCTACTTTATAATGTAAACCTGTACATCAAGTTTCATCTCATCCAATTAGAACCAACATTATTGTGTCCCAAAGCAACAACCAATCAAATTGCTTATCTCTTGGTCCTACCGTAAGCAGAAAATGACAATCTTCGATTTAACACGCTGGTTCGTCAACTTCCACCTAAGGTGATATCGTAAACAATTGTTTCCTAAGAAACTTACTAGAGGAAGCCACAGGGAATAGGCTTGGTCCAGTTTGATTTGTTTTTAAAACATAGTGTCTTTGCAGGGGAATGTCCAAAATAAATCTCATCGAAAGGAGAAAGTTCGGGAATAAAAAAGGAAGAATGGCGAGGGTGCGCAGTCTGGCCCGCTTTGCCATAGATCATTTAGATGCTACGAACTTAGTTAGGGTAGGTAAGTTGGTCTGACTGTCAATCGGGCCCTAGAGTCCGCCGCCTGTCTCGAATTACACCAAGGCGTTCACCTTATGGACGTCTACACCAACTTTGAACATTCTACTTCGGTGTTAAAACTAGAAGGAGAGTTATTGTGTTCCATAGTCTCGATCAATCAAATTGCTTATCGCTCTGCTGCTTAGGCTGGACCGAAAATGCTGATTATCGAACTTAGTCAAGGTATCGATGTAATGAAACTATACACCAAGTTTCATCACTCTCACTTAATTAGAAATAAAGTTATCGTGTCCCAAAGCATCAACCAATCAAATTGCTTATCCCTCAATTAGAAGTAAAGTTATTGTGTCCTAAAAAGTGTGACGGACAGACGGACAAACCCATTTTAATAGTTCCTGCCTTTAGAAGAATAAAAAGGAAGCTATTTGTAGTTGAAATGCCTTATTAGATGACACTACGACAGTTTCCATGATTTGCTGATGACCAATTAAGCTATGTTTTTACGTGGCCTACCCTAATTTTTGACGATTACACCGTTTTCATCTTTTTCTTATTTTAACTTAAACAGCTCTCAGTGCTTTGAGGAATTTTTATTTTAAATTACTTTTTCACAAGAAGGGAAGAGTCAAAGTCAATGTTAATTTAATGTTTAATCAAAGTCATTAAAAGATTAAAAATGTTATACTCTCTCTCAATCTTGTTTCGATTCGTGGGTACCAGACTTGGGGGCGCATGATCCATCTTTGCGACAATAACCAAAGCCCATGTCAAATATTTATAACGATCCATCGATTAGAGCATGTTAGCCACCCAAAATTATGAAACTAATACAGATTACTTTTCATAAAATGTGGTTCAAGTTATTTAAGTCGAAGCGCGATCCACGATTCCACGTGCTGTACTTGATTGCGAGCGGTAAATTTTACCGGCATGTTATTTTTTGTAAAATTGCTTTTGGCTAATTATTATAGATTGATTTGACAGTTGTGTTCAACCTTTACTTTCAACTTATTCACCTACCTGAGTCTGAAATGTCACCTGCCCGAGTCTGAAACGTCGAGGCCATATTTTTTGAGTCCGAAATGTCGTAAGTCCGAAATGACGCGGAACCGAAATGACATGTAATCGCTTATTGATATCTACGAGACAAGTGTTATCCCGGGATTTATCAAGTCGGCCTACCCTTTTTCCTATGTGAATACCGCGAAGGCAGCGAGTAGAGTGTCGGATGCAACCGACGGGTAGCGAAACCCGCATACTAAAGAGAAATACGTGCGTCTCCTCTCCTCGAAGAAGCCCAATTCTCGAGAACGTAGCTGAATTCCACAGTACCGATCCGCGTTACGAGAGGGAAACATACGGGGATAAGGAAGGATTCCTTTTGGCGAAAAAAGCCGAATTATTGTGAAAAATAGAAGGCAAAGACCTCAGAATAGCCCTTAAACAGAATTGGCGGTACAGCGTTATTTTAATCAATTTCATATTGTACGTTAAAAAGGAACAGGAACCGTAAGAAGACTTTCTCCGTTTGGAAACCGTTCCGAAAGCAACACACGCCTGTCTCGATTTAAATTCAGTCTCGGGTCAGTTATTTCCGGTCGAATACGGATATAACGAAGGCGTACATTAAACAGACGAATGCCAACCCCCTGAAGATCAAATGCCGATCAATCCAACCATAGGCGTACGGACTCGCTGACAGTTAGGGGGCAGAATCCGAAATGCCCGGGTTTACAGACAGTGGCGCCGGTCTTCCTGGAGAGGCGAAGAAGCGGAGCTTACCTTGTATGCCCCCCCCCCCCAAAGAAGATTTTGGAATATTTGACGGCTACTAACATGTTTTCCTGCTATTTCAGCCCGTGAACAAAGCAACTTCAAAGTGGTCTAATATAGCTTAATTAAGGTGGCTGACTCGAATTCCAATCAATCGTTTACAATCCACGAAGACGGGACCGTTTGGAGAATATTTTGAAAATTTAACTGCCGCAAACGCGTTTTCCTACTATTCCAGCCTGTGAATACAGAAACTTGGCTGACCCGAATTCCAAACAATCAATCAATCGTCGCGGGATATGGGGGCCTCACTCTCCCGGAGAAAATTTTGAAAATTTAACCACCGCAAATGCGTTTTCTGCTATTCTAGCCCGTGTAAGCAACTCCAAAAGGATCCAATGGTTTTGTAACCGAAATACCACTCTGAATTCCAACCATCCAATCAGACTGTTGCAGCTGCATTCACAAATAATAATCGATGCCCGAAAAATGTCGCACAAAATAGAGTGGCTCCATACACAATGTTTAAATCCATAATCAACTCAGTACAAATTCGTGGTATTCAATTAAAAGAAAAGTAAAATTAGTGCTTCATTAGGGATCGATGACAGTTAGGGAAGCAAAACTAGAAATGCACGAAAAAATTTCAGGTTTACAGACAGCGGCGTCGGTTTTCTTCGAAAGGCGAAGAAGCGTTTTACTGTCATTCCAGCCCGTAATATTAGTGTTTTATTAGATTTCGGGCACTTTATTTTACCAAGTAGATGAAAAAAATTTTTTTTCACTTTACCCGTCTGCCCAAAAAGTCAGCTTGCCCGAAAGTTAGGGGGGCAGCTGCCCCCCCCCCCCCCCTGGCTCGTACGCCTATGAATCCAACGCGAATGCCGCTGCTCCAATGAGTAGGACATTGGTTCGCTAACATGGAGTTCCAGTGTTGGATCCCTGCGTTGGCCGAGCAAGTTCATCGTGATATTTCGGCGTGGTTCCCCCAATTGTTAGTGGCGTAGAACGGAGGGACTGGCAAAGGACAAAGTATAGTCGTTCGGATGGGACCAAAAACCGAGGTCTCGTGTACTCATTGGCGCGCACGTAAAGGAACCCTTGACATTTGGAATTCGAAATAAGAGTTGGCCATAGCACCGCTGTCAGAGCAAAATTAGCCCCGTAGGAGTAGAACGATAAACCCCATTTCATTTCCAATGCATTCCCAATCCGCTCTTTTCAAAGTAAATAACTTAACACAATAGATAAAAATCGTTGATTTAATTTGGTTATAGAAAACGCCATCAATAATTAATGTACATATGTAAATATATATATATATGTATATAGGGAGATAATTTGTTACAATTAGCAGGGATATAAACAAATTCATATACAAGAGATGACAATTTCATCTCGATGGTTTTTTGTTTAAAAATATAACTTTATATATAATATAATATGATTTATGATAAAACTAAAAATAACTATTTTTAAAAACAAGGCGTAACATATTAGCATTATAAGCTGTAAGCAGTGGAAAGCAAAACAACAGACTGTTTTCATAATTAGACATTTATTCCCCTTTACAAACTTGCACTGGGCGTGCATTGCACTGCTATAGGCAAGAAAGAAAATTATTTCGAATCTTTCTCAACCCCACCACCCCAATGTATACGTGCATTCCAATATGCTAAACTTATATCAAACGGAAGTATCATCAAGAACAAAGTACTGTACCTTCCATCGAAGCAAATACCAAACAGGAAAACAAATAAATTAACATACTTAACAATAACAAAAGCATAAGATACATAAGTTGACTTATAACTGTAAAAGATATATAAGATTCAACTGACGAAAGCAAAGGGCAGAGTCCAATGGTTAAGTGAAAATCGATCGAATCAACTAAATATTTTCACCCTATATATTTCAATTTCATGTATGTTAATGTACTATTGGGTCGATTGTAGGTCTGTATTTTATTCGTATATACGATTATAAACAGGCCCGTAGCTAGCGAGGGGGGCGGGGGCGAGTGTTTAGTTGGGCGCCCACGACGAGATCATTTCGTTATATATAAGGCGCCCCCCCCCCCAAATGGTGAGGCGCCTCATAATGAATCATACGATTAACACCACAACTTGATTGATGGGCTCCCAAAACGGCGTGATCTATGGGTGCCTTATCCCAGAGGGATAATGACAATATATGCTTGTCGGGCCGCACATAATGCATAATGCCGCGTGAGATTGGTTGGGCACCCACGACTTGATCAATGAGGCGCCCAAAACGGCATGATTGGTGGGTTGTCTCATCCCGGAGGGGTGCCCATAATGCCGACATTTGTGCCGCCCAACCAAGAAACCGACCGCATATCGACGCCCGAAGAAATCTACCATAAGAAAGCCAAATGGAGATTGTAGGAATTTTCCAGGTCAAATTCACGATGGGGATGAGACTGATTCAAGCTCGCACCAGGCATGATAATTTTCAAAATTCTAACAAGTCGCACTCTAACCCGATTCCGAACTTTTAGTTTTTATCATAAATTATTATAGGTACGCTGTATAAAGTCGTATTCCTTCTTTCAAATTTGTATCAAAATATCATGATAAGCCAATATCGAAAATTCAGCCCCAGGATTGAAATTTTCTGTCATTTTCATAGTTCCTCTCCTCCGGTACAAAAGCTATTTTCCAAAATTTTCTGCAGGGAGAGCACCCTAGACCCTTCTCCGAAGGGAGGCTCATCCGCGGTGCCGTTCGCCGTGGATCTTCAAGTGTAGGTACATCGGCATCCCCAGAAGCCCTTTCCCCGCCCCAACATTTTTGGGCTAGCTACGGGCCTGATAAAAAAAGCAGTACTGTGCTTTTGATCAGCATTATACACCCTTCCTTAAAGAATTCGTGTGCTATACCATAGACATGAGTCCGATTATTAAAGGACAAATCGGTGTCAATCATTATCATATATGTAATAATTTCTTCGAAGACCAAAAGTTGTTTATGAGAGGCTGTGAGAGGATGTCTGATAATTCAAAAAAGAAATTGAATGTCACTAGATAAGGGAAAACGAGCAAAAATAGAAATAGTCCATACGTTCCCCTGTTTTTATAAAAACATGGTAATGCACGGACTTTTGCTATTTTTCTCGTTTTTTTTTCTTATCTAGTGACAGTCAATTACTTTTTTGAATTGTGAGATATCCTCTTACAGTCTCATATAACAACCTCTGGTCTTCGAAGGAATTATTTGTGAGCAGAAATTAGCCCGTGTATCTGTTATCACTCTTCACTTCAGTCAGTTATATAGAGGGATAACTCATGTTTTCCTTTTGCGTTCGTCACTTCCGATTCAGGAAACCTGTATTACCCAGCTATCGTAGCAATGATCTCTGTGTTAAAATTATGTTTGGAACATATTGAACGAGTTCTATCACATATGTGATAATGACTGACACGACACCAATATTGTCCTTTAATTCCGTGGCCATGCATTGGGGTTTTTGTCGGAAAAGGATTTTCACAATTACATAAAGGTCGGCCTAACTACCTATCAAACAGTCTAGTTCAAAAGCAAAGCATCTACAGTAATACAGTGTTAAATTAATACCACTGCCTCATTAAATAACAACAATTAATGAAAAGGAAAACCAGACATTATGCATATTAATGATATTTGAGATAGATAAAATTAATTTTAAAAAAAAAACATTTCCTGAGAGAGAACAAAAAATGATTTAGGTGTGAAATTTGAGCGTCAGTTCATGTCTCTATCCACTTGATGATTGATTATACTATACGAGGCGTAAAATATGTACACCTCCATGCTTGACTCTTTGTAAGCAACTTCACGACCCAAAGTCATCCGCATTGTCGTAGGTGCCGCCAACTACATATGTTGCACACGGGCGACTTTCTTGGGAAATGTTTACGCGATTTTTAGTTACACCCATATTGCTAGAAAAAAATGCCCGCGTGCAGATCATTGTGATGGCAGCAGATTTTGATTTTTGTCGCCGTCGACCGGTTGCTGAATATCAAAGTAGTTTGATATTCGGCGACAAAGCATTGCTCGTCGTTTTGAATTCGCACAGCAAGCAATGAAGTGGGGTATTTTGGGGGTTATTCGTTATGCTTCACCAATCAGCGCTGGCTAAAATATCATGTGATCTTACAAAATGGCAGCACCAAAGTATGACAACATGGCTGTTTTCTTAACAATTGCTTGTTTCTTCAACGATTCTTTATCGACTCATTAACAATTGTGGATAGGGGCATCTGTAAGATTTCGTAGCTTTTGTCCCAATCCTTTTGTACTGCATTTATGTTCTGGTTCAATAAAATATGTTTAAAACAGAACAATTGCTACAATTAATAGCCTATGGTTAAGTGATGTTTTGATTAGTAACCCTTTTCAGGACCCAGCACCAACACAGACTTGCGAATTTTGTTACAGCTTAATACAGTCGCCTCAAGATAATAATTCGGAATTTCTCTGATTGAAAAAACTATAAATTTCCGTAAAAACTTAATCGATGCTTGTTTGAATGATATTCAAGGCCATAACTGTAATCTAATTCCAGCAATGGTTAATGAGCCCATTATAATCGTGACCATTACTTGAAGAATATGATGCAAACCAGTCACTATAAAGACATAGTATAAGTAATGGGTAGACTTTTGGGAAAGAAATATGCAAATGATACATACATGTACGTCATTGTACCATGACATGGTTCCATGATGTTTTACAAATTTCTTCGACAAAAGTCTTATCCCAGTTTGTTCGATTTATATAAAGCTGATGAAAACTGCACAAGGTTTAGCTTTATCAGTCTATCAACATTAATTAAGTATGCCCCTTTAGTCAAGAAATAAATTATATATTAAAAAAATGTTACTTCTCGTTTTTTAAAATAATAAAATAATTTTAACTAAAGCTAAATTAACAATAACAATTTTTGAGCATAGATGGTCAAATACAAATATATACTAGTATATCTGAATGTTATACTATAAATATAGAAAGCGAAATAAATTATTACAAGAAAATATATACCACATTAAGTGCAAAGTATATACGGTAGTAAAAAAACAAGAAATGTATACGAGAAAGAAATTAATGTGATCTACTGCTACCGTTGTCACAATCTAATCAATTGTCATTTACACGATACGGTGGGTCGCATTAGTTTCTATGCACATTTACGTCACCTCTTTTTATTACCCCTACCACGTTTGGTCGTCAATATTTTTATAAACGGGACACGGTCAATATCCAACTTAATCAATCAAATTAATGCTGTTTTGGGGGTACTGAACTCCAAAATCTCCCTATAATGTCAATTTAAATAACTTTAAAAATGTGATCCGCCATTTAAAAATCCTACACATGCCAGATGTCAGCATAAATTTCTTGTTTTAAACTGGTCATAATTATTCTACAAACATATATAGGCCTAATATGTACTCATATAATTAAGATGACAAGAAACTATTAATAATTTCTTAAAGGCCCATACACAAATATTTCGTAATCCTTTGTGCCCGGTCGTAAAATTTCAATCAACAGTAAACCAAACTTCACAGAAGAAGCACTGTCTTGTCACCGGCTATATGTCCTGACACGACCTATTAACTAGTATGCTGCCATTTAACACTTGCTAACTTACACGGAGTTAAGTTAAGAACTATGATCCTATTAAATTCTGTGAACATCCCTGGCAAGAAAAATGCTGATGAATTATTTTGCTTAAATTAACATTAAACTTTTTAAAAAGGTTTTCAAAATGTATTGCCGTATTCTTGATTATGATTATAATTTATAATAATAGCAGATTGATTATTCTATGACCGGCAGTCAATTTGTTTTATATCCGTGGTACATATGAATATATACGATTATCAATATATGATCTATGATTAAACTTTGATAACAGCAGTACTATCAATAACAAGTGCTTTCTTATCAATTTAAATTTCAGTTACATGAAAAATGTCTTCTAATCCCTTGTGGCACACACTTTCGATGCATCCTAAAAGCACACCCAACGACTTGTAGAAATTATAATACAGAATAAACGCACACGTAATGCCGCGTGGAAACCTAATGTCCGCTACTTCTCATCGGCTTAAGTTATAGCTCTTTGACATGGATAATCTATCACATTTAAATCACATTGAACCGCCATCTACTTCAGCAGCAGCCGTCGTGGAATTGACCTCTTAGAGCTTGAAGAAACATATCCAGTCCGTCAAAATTTCGTAGTACACAGATACTGTTAAATTGATTAAAAGGCACAATTTTTATCAGACTTGCGCAAGATGTATCATCACTTCATCATCCTCCAGACCTTACTTTGAGCATCACGTCAAAATGTTCTGTTTTACCATGAAGTGTTGCGACTTATTCACTGACAGATGTAATGGGCATCTCAAAATTCCGTTCACAACCCTTATTAACGTTTTGTTGATTGTCTGACTGATGATGGTAAAATACAGCGAAGTGGACATATAGACATAAAGACATTGCAATGCATTTTGCTTCAACTAAACCTGACTTTCTGGGTGTGAAGAAACAGCTCGTTCTAGGTCTGGTGACGGAGAGCGATCATCATCGTCCCGAAAAGCTTTATTTTTATACATGGAAGAAATACTTGGTCGTTGGTCGTCTGGAAGAGAACTTTTTGGATTGCGACTGCTGCCGTCTGAGGAAGCAGATCGCGCATAATGTGATCGTCGACCATGCGATCCCGGACGACCACCAGATTGCGATCGCCTACCGGAAGACCTCGACCGTGATCTCCCACTAGATCGATGTCCACCAGATGATGATCGCGGCAATGATCCATTAGATGACTGTTTGTCCTGTGGTCGTGATGACCTATCGCCACTACCACGCGATTTAGTAGCATCAACATTGTCCGATTTATCTGGCTTATCAGACACACTGTTTCTTTCACGAGATCTCCGTTTACTTCCGGTTCTCGATTCCCGCGATAATGAACCATTTCGCGGTTCATTTTTCTTATATTTAATTCGTTCAGTACTGCTGTCGGCAGTCGTACTTTCAAACCCTTCGTTAAAATACACATGCTTTTTATGATACGCGACCTTTTTACCTCGATCCTTTGCATCGCCGCCGTTAGGATTATAGGTAACATTATTGTAACCGAACACGGAGTCGTTGCTGCTGATACTGCTAATTTCTTGGCTGCTATCTCTATCATGATGTTGTTGTGCCTGAGATGTGTTTGAAGCAGAATAATCTGAAAGGAAATGGAAAGATTTTTATTTTAAATATAAATAACACTCAATGTCTCTGACTGGTCGGTATTTTATATTGTGAAAGTTGGATCTCTACAAGAAATATCAGTCCTCAAATGGATAAATTCCGTCTAGAATTTACAAAAGTATGAACTAAACATCATTCAACATACTTTGTCGACAATGTAGCCAAAACCCTTTTCGCCCGTCGCCTGTTAATCTGATTGAATCCAAGCCGGATTTTTTAAAAGTGAATTGGATTTTTCGGAAATATAAAATTTCTCCCGACTTAATCCACGCTATAATGTACTCAGATTGGTTATTTAAGGTTTAATTAAGAAATCAAGATATAAACACTAGATAATCCGATTAAACATAAACAAACATCACGGTGTACTATTATTTGCATACGGAGCAGCACAGATCGATGGAATCTCAGTTCATCATATCCACGTAGATACAGACCGGAATTGAACCGTCTTCGGACTTATTTCCCTATAAGAGATCAACCGTTGCAATATTGTACTTAATTGCAAGGAATTCACATATCGTTAAATTCAAGCCAGGGATCTTAATTAGATGTTACATAATCAATTGAAATACATTTAGTGTAGATTAAGGCTTGTAAAAGTAAACATTGTCCGAAAAATGCAAATGATGTTTCGGCGTCTTTTAGTTCTAGCCAAAAGTTATACATTTCAATTTTCAGCAAACATTGCATGATAAAGGCATTAGACACACCGTTGCATAGTACAAATGATGGATAGCAAGTGCTACGAACATTGCTTAAAGCGGTATTATGGAAGATTAGATAAAGAGCTGATAGTTCTCGCTATAATAGTTAAAACATGCATAATGTAAAGGGAATATGCTGAACAGTTCAGATAAATTACTTCACCCTGGGCCCAGAAAACCATATTTCAACAACTGTGTAGCACCGATTGTCATTTTTACAGTTGTTACGACAATAAACAAAGAAAGTCTCGATTATCCAACTTCCGTTGAACAGCAGATCGGATTCAAATCCATTTAAAATCGGACCCATCAGATTATGGTCTTGCCATGTTAATAAAATATCTAATTAATAGTTTATAATATTTAAAGCCTACATAAAACCCTGCAATAGGCAGATTTAGTTCTTGCATAATGGCCGTTTAATAAATGCGTTTTGTCCGTTCAGATTTCCAAACATACTTACTTGAAGAAGCTTTTGTTGACCAGGAGGAATCGGCTCTACTCGGCGGCGCTTCTACATTGTGAACATTAACACCCCCCTTTTCGTCACGCCGCACTTTCACAAAACAATAAATAATCACAAGAATGACAGCTAATACAACCACAAGAAGTGCTATCACAATGCCAATAATTACTCCAATATTTAAATCACCATCCACCATTTTGATTGATTTTTTGTTCAACAGCTAAACTTTCAAGATGTAAATCATAACTACATTAATAATCCATTTCCCTTATTCGTTGTCTTTTACTAATGTCATGAACGTTTAACTATCTGCAACACATATTTCTCTTGGACAAGATTTGATTGTGGATTGTCTACCTTGGGCAATACACGCGTGTTTCACACTAACAATATTTACGAGAACATTTCATGGGATTTCATCTGAAGTTAAAGTTTCATAACATGCACCATATTCTGAAAGTCAAAGGAACAGAAATTTAGGTTAGTTTTCGCAATTGAAGTATGTAACATTTCAGAAATTGAACTGTAGCGAGCATCAATGCACCATCTGAAATAAAATGGTGATAACAAAATTTTACAATGAAATTGAAGGCTACAAATTATTTTTAATGAAATAACAACACAATAGCTTTCCCACAAAAAACGGTCTGAACTGCAATATTAAATTGTGTGCAAATTTGTCAAATAAAGAAGATAATCTCATGAAATGTCCTCGTATTTTCAGAAAAAAGTAAAGAAACAAAATAGGCATGCTCGCAAACAGTTCATTTTCTGAAACGCAACACATTTACTATTTGAATATTTTATTATGCAAATATAGAAGACTAATTATATACAAAACAATTCTACAATAAAAATGGAATGAAAATATTCACACTGCAATACAAAAAGCACTAATAGAATGTAATCAAATACAATGTACAAAATGATATGACTGGTTAAATAAAACTCTGAAGTCATCATGATATACATGTAGTAGGAAATTATTAAGAAATAAAAACATTTTGTTACAATATTAAAATGACGGTTTATGTTAAAATAATTCAAGATGGAAAATAAAGAAACCATTTCATATATTAGTGAAAGTCGATTAGTCTTTGTTTACTTCACATGACTTTTGAGAAATCCTACACCAGGACATCTTAAATGTGTTTTAACTTAATGATTGATGTATAAATACAGAATTTCACCAAGATGATAAGGTTCCGTTCTTTTAAATACAGAACAGGGCCCGAAGTTGGCCCACAAAGAAATTACTTTAAAGCGAAAAATCGACCAAAAGCTATACAAATGAAATGAAATAGGGTTTAACGTCCTACTGTTCTGCTCCTAACCTGGGCTAATGAAGACGGGCATACGCCATACAGTGTGATATGAGGGAAATTTTGCCCGGGCAACGGCGCTACGGCCTACTCTTATATCGAATTCCAACTGCCAAGGGATCTTTTACGTGCACGTCAATGTGTACACGGGACCTCGATTTTTCGTCCCATCCGAACGACTAGACAGGTGTCCTTGTCAGGCCCTCCATCCTGCATCACTGACAAGGGGAAACCACGCCGGAAAATCTGAATGAACTTTCTCGGCCAATGCAGGGTTCGAACACCCGACCTCCAGACTAGCGAGCCAGCGTCTTACCCACTTAGCCACGTGATCCCCACCCAAAGCTATACAGAGGCATTGTAATTGTTCGTCTTAAAGTAACAATTTGTTACTAATTTCATAAATCAACCTTTACCTGCAGTAAAATTATATTATATTATAGCTTAGTGTACAATAGAAACACACCATACTTCTCAGAAACAGTTTTTCGAAATGCAATTTCATAAATAAGTTAGCAACGAAAATGGCGTTTACTTACAATAAGCGAAGTTAATGAGAGATGAACAAAGCAAATTAGTCCAAATGGTTAGAATTTCAAAATTATTTGGTACATTTAAGAATTATTTTGATTAAAGGCTGATTAACAATGACGGATTATATAGAATTTAAGGCAGTTCTCTGGTCAATTGAATTCGGAACCCTCCGAATAACTATATCCATTTATATTACAAATTATTCTCCTTCCCAACATATTCAATTCATAGAATTACTGTTGTCATGGCACATATAAAACATGGAATAATTGTGACCGGCGATGACACAAACACACAATCAAATTTAAAACTATAAGGCAAAATAAATATCATTTAAACATGACTGTGAGACAGTTTTTATGAAACAAATTCTAATTAAGTTTTAGATCCCACCCCTTTGGTTCTTAATGTTTCTATATCTTGCTCACCAAAAACATGCATGAATTCCAGAATTTATAGAAGCCAAATTGAGATCTATACCTTTATAGATTGTCCATGGGGAAGATAACCAAATTGACAATAAATGAAACGAATTAAGCTAATAATCCCGTCTAGAATGACGATCGGACGATCTTGACCTGCCATTCCTGCCGCTTGCCGAATGCGACCTTTGACGACTAGATCTCTCTGAGCCCTTCCTTCGTGAAGTATCAACATAATCAGAGGAGGCTGATCGACCCCCTGTGGACGGGGTCTTATATCGGCCAAAGGTGGAATATCTTCCGTTTGATTGGGATTGCGACCTTGTTGAATTTGCTCGAGGTCTGGAATTAGAAGACGATCTGCGGTGGGGTGAATAGGATCGGTCTCTCTCCCTATAATCACGGTGCTCACTGTCCGTGCGACTTCTTCCCCGACTCCGTTCTCGTTCCCGTGGTCTTTCCCGTTCCGAACGTCTCCTTTGATCGTATTCCCTATCATACTCCCTATCTCTATGACGACCATTGTCATCCCTTTCGCGTTCTCTGTAACGGCCATTTTCATAGTCCCTATCACGATGGTCTCTTTCCCTTTTATAGTCATAGTCCCGATCATATTCACTTTGATGCCGACTCTTTTCGGATCGGGTTTCGGAACGTGTACGCGGACGTTCATGTGCTCTATCTTTGCTTTCGTTTCTCTTGTTATCATAATCCCCACTTTGTCGGTTCTTATCTCGGTGACTCCGGCGTCTTTTACTTTCCACAATCTTCTCCCGATCTCTATCCGATTGATATTCAACATCGGAAATATCGGTGTATTCTATGTGTGGTTTATCCAGACTTCTCGTGCTACCGCTACGAGATTGGCGATAAATAAAGCCATTATGTGACTTCTTGTCCTTGGCCAACTTAGTCGTGTCCATCGTAGCTTCACTGTCATAAGCTTCGTTTTTAAACTCTTTATCAGATTTCAGGATGGACTTGACAGACTTTTTAGGACTATCTGGTTTATAAGCAGAGTTTTTATAGGTTGACGGGGCATCTTTACTGTCCACGCTGCTATAATCCTGACTATTATCATGGGAATAGTGGCGTGATGCGTATGATGCGAAAGTCTGCTGAGAATAAGCTGAAATATAGAAGGAAAAAAAGTAAATAATGGTTCTGACGGACAGTCTTCCCAAAGTTGTGTTGGCATCTTGATGTTAAACCTTATTTTGTCCTACGACGTGTATAGAATATACTCCACGTGGACACTTATTTTGTGAAATTGCTGATACTAAAACGAATTGTTATTTGGACGACTCTTGTCATGCATCAGACTCCCGCCAATCCATCTTCGAGGGGAAGATTATTTTTTTTTATTTCTATAAATTATATATGACACAGCAACAGCTATCATGCAAGAGACGAACTTTTCCAAAGATTCGTCCATTAAATCCATTTCTTCTGGAGTTCTTTAACCCAATTTGACAAGCAGATCATCTCAGAATGGTCTTGCCTTTCTTTACACTAAGGTTAACTTACTTGTAGAGGCAGCTTTGTTTGAAGCTCGCTGTGTATCCTCCATTCTTTGCTTTTTCTTTACTCGCACTACGATGAAGATGATGATGAGAACGAACGCAAGAATAATGACGGCAGCAGCAACCCCAATTCCAGCTATTGCGCCATCTGTTAATACTTCCTGGCGCCAATTAGCTGCCGCTTGCTCAAAGTCTAACACCGGACCTGGAATAAAACGAAATGTTTTAAATACTGGTGCATGGTGTGCATGGTATACATGTATAGTATTCCAATATTAGGCATTCCCACCAGCCTAATAATTGACTTTATTTATTTTATCGTCAATTAACTGAACGTAATATAATGAATGTCCTCAGGTTTAGAATAATCAAGAACCACGGGGCATGGTATGCTTACTCTTTCTAGAACATATGATGCCAATTCTCATTTGAGGAATTCGCATAGCTAACAACTTTTATTTTTCTTTTGCAATAGATTAATAAAAAATAATTTTTATTTCAGGAAAAAGTCCGAAACGTTGCATACAATTATACATGACGTCATAGCAATTTGTCTTTTTATCTCGTAATCACGTGATTTACTTTATAAGTTCAGAAATTCAAATCTTATCGAAGAATCACGTGATATGCCAAAACTTGACATCGATTTTTGAATGCAAACCCTTCAGAAAATAAGATAATATTCTAAACTGACATATATAACAATTTGGTCATAAAAAACTTATCCCATTTTGACTATAATAAATTATTCTATAACCTTTATTGAAGTGGACATCTGTCGCTGATAAATATATTACACCCAAGATTTCAAATGACTTACAGTTTCTCCGTCTTTCTTTATAACACGTGGTTTAACGCCCTACATTTTTGTACCAGGCAGTTTGATATTTCGAATTCAAACATGTTAAGGGTTCTTTTACGACCACCAACATGTACATTGGACCTCGGTTTGCTGTCCCATCCGAACGACTAGACACTTTTCCTGCCACTGACAAGGTGAAATCACTCTGGAAAATCCAGGGAACTTTCTCTGCCAAAACCGTGATCGAACACCGAATCTCCTGCTTAATGGAACCAGTCTTACTCTCGGAGACATCATGGCTCCCCTTCGGATTTATTTATGTACTTACGGGACCCTTTGACAAAGACTACGCGGGACCCAACTATTCAGCAACGTACTAACAATTATTAAATATTTAAAATGGCTTCATATTTGGTTTGTAAATTGAACGTTCGGTTAGCCAACAGGAAACGGACTACTGATTAGTTTAATATGCAATATAATATGTCGGAGAAAAGTTCAAGACTTTGGAAGACTAGTATCTTATCTCATAGAGATCGCGGACCTTCTAAAGGCACGGTACTAGACAGTTTCCATGGGCCATAGAGTGTGATCTATCACTGTTTATACCTCAATTTTTAAATCGTTGAATTGATTGAGGTGGACTTACCTTCTGTTGTTGTAAGTGCTATATTAAATCGGTAATTAATAGCTTGAGGTGTCTGTTTCACCAATTTTATTACAAGACGACTGTATGCCGTTGTCCATTGCATTCCTGTTCCTGATTTACAACCCAACGTCCACTAAAAAGGAAAACAAAATTCAAAATAATACTTTACATAGAAAATATTAGATGGGCCGTGCACACTGT